TCACACAATAGGCGTTGCTCATTGCCTACTCTAATGAATGTGCACAAGATGACTGTGCTTTCGATTCCGATGTATATTGGATTGGTTTAGCTGTTCGGTGTCCAATCGATGTGACACAAGTTTAAAAATCTCTCTCCACTTACTGAGTTTTACAAATTCACTTCTATAGTAGACATCAATAGCTATCACATAATAGATGTGACAGTTTGTTCAGTTACACTTTATCTACTTGTAGAGGTGAGTGATCTTCAGGTACTCCTCAGAAATTTTCAGTTCTTTAAATGGAACACAACAATGCCCTCTTATTATTGCAAAAAGATGCTTGATACTTGAATTTTATTAAGAAATGTATTATAATAATCAAGGAGACAGACTAATCATGTAAGACGTGTTTTTTTTTTGCTTTCTTGTAAAATCCCTCATTTTTTACACTGAAGATAAAAGGGCACATTTGCAGTCTTCCTTCGCCTTCATCATCATCTTTTTCTGTTAAATGCATTTAAAAGAAGAGTTAATGGAGTCATTTTGTTGGGGGAAATGTGGTTTGTGACTTGTGTATATGTCTGTGTATGTTTGAAAGAGATAGACAGACAGACCGACCGACAGGGATGAACAAAAGCTTTTCTTTCAAATCTGTAGTTTCTGTAATGTAATGCAATCTCCTATGTTCTCTTTGTTGTCACATACGTATCACACCTTATTGATGTTTAAACAGCTTTAAAATTACTTTTTATGAAGGAAGAAACAATAAATGCTTTAATATAGCGGGATATACGCACTGACATCCTCATATACTATCTTGAATACATGAATAAAACTCAGTGACTTTATTTAGAGTCGTTTTCTAAGGAACACATTTCTTTTAGTAAGTGAGTCATTCTTAAGGAAACGCATATACAATATGTATAAAGGGCAGTCTAATGTAACTGAAGTGAGAATAATATTCATTTGTTTGGATTTTATTGTTCCTTTGTTTTATTTATTTATTTATTTATTCTTTCCTCAATTACTTTAGTCTGTTCACTAACTTTGTTTAGTGTGTTCTAAAAAGATTGACTCATTGTGTTGTTTTTCCGTTCAGTATGATTAAACGGTTTGATTGGTATACTGATTTATGTGCCATATACGGCGGTGGTCATCATTGAAGTTATTTCTTGAGTACTCATTGTTGAGAAGGAGGAAACAGCTCTCCTGTGTACCTACGTTTTCTGTTGTTCTTCAACTGAGATCAGTCTGTGATGGAGACTTTTCTAAAAATTTGAATTTTTCTAGGATTCGAATTAGTGAGTACTGGGTTACTGATCTAAGCCATAAAAGCCAACCGTCATTTAAACCTCTTGTTCACCTAAAAAAAACCGGGTATTTTACACGGTTTTTTGGGACTGCGTCACTTTTCAGAGCTATTGTATAAACTTTTCGGAAGCAGGGTATAGAATACTGGATGAAGAAGGCAAATCAGTTAATTAGATGATCAGTATTCACTGATTGGGGGCGGTTGTGACGTATAGAGCCACTGCTTACTTCTATTTGCTATAACAACTCGTGTATTCGTCTGAAAATCTGTTATTACTTGGAAATGTAGATGACAGGATGTCATCCATTCTTCATCTACCTTTGTCTTGAAAATCTAGTTGTCGTATGTTTTTATCCACTTTTGTACTTTTAATTTGCTCACTTCTTTCGTTTCTGCACGGTAACCGTGCACTAACCATCACTATGTAGAATCTTAAGACGATAGGTGGTTTTTGCGGATTGTTTTATTGATTACTTATATGATACAACATAGTCACTAACAGATGTACCATACAAAATAATAAATTAACATTACGAAGGAACAGGAAACGTTCAGAGGATATGAACAAACATAGAAATGGACTATTGAAGAATTAATCTCAAAGATACATCTGAATAAGCATTCACCACTTTCGTTTTTCTTTTCAGCATAATCGCCACTGATTTTAATTCTCAGCCATGTCTGCTATCATCTCAAACCACTGAGCCACATGATCTCTTGGACGTCATACAGGAAATTGTGAAACTAACAGATGTTAACCCATCACAACTATCATTCATCCAATGGCACCACGTCATACATGGGGGACCTCTCTCCATCTTCCAATCAGCGAGCAAAGATTAAACTGCGTGAAAGCCACTGGGTCGACATACGTAATACATGTGTCAACGTTTTTGAGCTGACAGATTGGGAACTTATTCTAGGCTCTTCACTGAGATCTTGTGTCAAAGTCTTGATAAAACCTATCTGTTATTCGATCTGCTTTAAGGTGACCAGTTTAAACAGTGCACTTGGTTTCGCGATAGTTGTATCAGATATCGCTCTGAAGAATAGTTTTCCTTAAGCAACTGTTTAGCGATCTGGAAAATAAATGCACTTCAGAATACCGGTCAGTAATGAGCAACTGAGCAAAACAAAGATACATATGAAGACAAACTTGAAAATAATAACCCAAACACATTATAGTATTATTACTTGTATTATACCGTCGTTGGTTGGACCGAATTGATCGATCTCTATTGGTATATTGGGTCCTGTGTGGATTCCTCGATAATACCTGCGTTTTAATTCTGCACAGGAGCCCATATGCCAATAAAGACCGATCAATTCGGTCCAACCAACGACGGTATAATACAAGCAATAATACTAAAACTATGCTCGTCGCAAAAGAAGTGGCTATCGTGACTCGATGGTCTAGTGGATAACACTTTAGCGTTTGAAGCGATCGGTCCCAAGTTTGAGTCTTAGCGGGAAAGCAGGTACATCCAACTGGTGAGTCTCAAATAGGACGAAATACTCATCCTGGATTCAACTGCTAGCCACGATCCATCATTACTCAAATGCAGTGTAGTTTAACTTGAATAATAACTTTGATATGAGGATGAATTGTGTTTCTTGTAGGAAGATTTGGTGAATGCCTAGTAGTTTCTCTTGTTAATGTTGACTGATAAATTGTAAGTGGGCTGGGATACCATCTGAACATTGTGGCTGAAGTCAGTAGCTGTCTTTAGCGATCACTTCCCAAACCTTAACTTGACTTCTGATCCACAAAGCAGCGGAACAACCTGAGGTGCTGCGTTCCTAATTTTCTAAGTGAGAAAGATAGACTGAAACACCATTCATCTGTTCTAGAAGGTTGGACCTATATGCACCAGAGGTATGAGATCAGGGTTTTCTAACTACCTTAGGTTTACTGTCTATTTACACCACTCCAGTTATAATGCTGAACGTTTTCCTTCGCCTTCTAGCTCATATGGGAAACCTCAACTCGTCATGTGTAGGCATTGAGTAGGACTCACCTGGGAGAGCCATATGAAAGCATTTCGAGAGGATGACCAGGGTAACCACCGTCATCCATTATGAGCTTTCGGGGGTTGGGCGTGTGTAAAGATGTTAGTTGTTGACTAATTTTATGGTCCACTTTGACATTTCTCACAACTGAGTGTTTTTTGCAAATGCTTGACTGCAATATCAGTGAGAGACATTAAAGGTCATCTTAATAACTACATTTTTCTTGGTTATGATTTCTTCTATGCTTGCTAACATCATGTTGTTGTTTGTCTTTTGGGTTCCCAGTGGGACGTAGGGCTTCAGTAGCACGTCGCCACTCCACTCTGTTCTCTGCAGTTTTTTGAACCAGGCTCCACGACTGCCCAGAAGCTTTCATTTTTTCCTCACACCATCTCCTCCATGTCACTCTCGGTTCAGATACCCAACTCGTCGTTTCCTCTTTGGATTCCACTCGAGGCCTGGCGTGTCGCATAATATCCCCAAATGGTCTTCTCAGTGTATGCCCGATCCGTCTCCACTTTCTTTATAGAAACCGTTTTATTGTACATACTATACTACATATCATTATTTTCACTGGAAAGGTAGTTTTCTATTGCTTTCAGGTTTTCAATGGTTCTCTGACTAGTGGCAATTTGTTTTGTTAAAAAATCTCGTAAGCTTAAATTAGCTTATTTTGGAGGAGTGTCTAGTTACTATGGTGGATGTAATGGTCAGTATTGTCAACACTGTTTACGTTGTTAACCACTATTTCAAAAATAACCGATAAAAATAATTATATTCGATAGAGAGAGCACACAAGTTTCACTTTAAATTACTGTTACCGGTATCTGCACAAAAAGACTAGCTGTATGATAGGTGAGTGATTGCCTTAATAAAAAGTGACTTTAAAAGCTAACATGACGCCTGATGAAATAGTCAATCAGGTTTCTTTTTGTTGTTGAAAGGTTACGTTTTCAGGTGAAACTTATTCCGTCACTGAGGTTGACTTCGAGAGGTACTCTTAATATGCACGTAGGTTTTTGACTTTTGGTTAAAGTAGTAAGTGAAGCGGATGCTAACTGAAGACCTAGGGTGATAGTCGCACTATATCGTGAATTGACAGAAGGTGGAACTTGTGAACCACTTAAAACTGACCCAGTGGCTGAATGGTTAACGCGTTCGCCGTGAATCCTGAAGGTCCCGAGTTCGATCCCCAGCCGGGTCGTGGGTGCGTACTGCTGAGTCCCATACTAGGACGTAACAGCTGTCCGGTGCTCCCAGATTTCCAATGGTTCCCCAACCGATATTAGTCCATGATGAATACTACTTCTAAATTATTGTTTATGATTATCCTTGTTCTTAAAATAAATTCAAATCTGACCTTATTGACATTCATGAAAAAATTTTTTGTTTGAACTATATTCGTAACCTTTGATCTAACATTATGTCTCAATTATCTCAAGTGGAAAAATGTATCTGAATCTAAGTCTAAAATTGTTCTGATTACTGAATAAATACTATGATTAAATTGATATTCCTGGTTTAATGTGCTTATAAAGTTGCTGTAATATATCCTTAAAGTCTTCATACTATTTCAAGTTGTTATTCATCGAAGACTGACATCAGTTGGAGGAACAAAGGAAACCTGGGAGCACTGTGTTACTATACTATGTTAATTAACTTATTTTTCTACTCGTTTTCCTTGAATACTCTTTAGATGTAAATTCCAAAACGAATGCGTTATTACAGTCGACAGTAACAGTGGTTCCTTCACCTTCCAACAGTACTACTATTGCTGCTAGTATACTGAACACTACTAACAACTTGAGTTTGATTTATGCTACACCACAACCTCAAAGAAATAATGTAAGTTAAAAAATAAACACTAAATTTTCTTCTAAGCATTATCTATCTCTGGTAGATTTTGCATATTCTCTAAGTAATAAGTTTCAGTAAATTGATTTCATCAATACATAGGCATGTAGTAGATAATAACTAGAGAAGAAAACTTCCACCAGCTCTCATCATAAGTAAAGCAGATTTTTCGTCTTAAAGGAACTCATTTTAAAAGGGACTAAGGTGAACTAATCAGTTGGCGATGATGATCACTGTAGGAAGATGTAAACTCTCTCTGTTAGGTTTTCAAGATGATAGAAATCAACAACAAAAGTCTCTTGATGATATGACTTGAAATTGGACATAATTCTGTCATCTTTCATACACTTTTATTTACTTAAATGCTATTCCTTTTTCCATCCCCTTCTTCTGAGACAAATTCAGTGTTTATCTGATTGTCTTCCATGTGTGACTAGAAGAGCAATTCAGTTATGCATTGAAAACCCCGTCGCATATCTTCCCTGGTCAGATTTACTGTATGTACACATGAGTTTATGTATAGTTCCTTTAATATAAATCTGATATTTACTAGGATAAATTCGTTTTAGTAATTTTTTGTATGAAAAATTACAATCTTTAGAAGAACTCTTGAAGGATACAGTACTTTGAATAACTGTCCTGTTGTGGTCCATGTAAAGGTTACTAGTCAAGTCAATTGATGGGGTTTTGAACGTTAGTCGACTGAGGTGTTTTGGACATGCACTGCGCATGTTGAGCCATCGCCTACGTCAACCTGCCATGCTAGGGAAAGTCGGATTATGTTGGAAGAGAGTTTGAATTAGCTAGACCAAAACCTGCCACCAGTCGATGTAACCTCATGGGAAATAATTTCCACTCTGAGATTTGAACCCGCACGAGCACCCAGGACTTGCCAACGTGAAAACGGTTGCTTTCCAGTGACCAGTCAGTGTATAGGATCCAGTCCTATGGGAAGTCAATCGTCGCTCGAATAACTCAATAGTAGCCTCACTGACTGCAACACCGTGAGTTCGAATCTCAGAGGAGATATCAGTTTCCGCGAGGTTGCAGATATGCCTTGCTGACGAGTGCTAATAAGCATGAAGCTTGGATCAAAGACTTCCTGCGGATTGTTTCCAACCTACTAACTTTTCTCTCTGACTGAGTTACCATAACTTCTAAATTTATTTTTGGACAAAGTTAGGAATGCACACTTATTGCGTTAAATACAACTATCCCTATGATTTAAGAAAAAATTCTGTCGATAGCTTAGATAATGTTGTCATTTGATGCATGCCAATCGAAAATTTTGTGTCCATAGTATAACAATTATGCCTGTATGCTAATTATCTAACTGTCCCCTATAAAAATGACTTTTAACATTGCTCCGTGTACATTGTGCCAGCCAAATATGTTTCCAAACCGAAATCTTATTCATCATATGCTCTACTGACCAATTTTATTTTCTAACTTATATTTTTATTTCCTTTTCCGTTCCTCTTTCTTTTACTTGGTTTTCAATCTCTCTTCATCAACCTTTATATATATATATATATATATATATATATATATATATATAGTAGCTGTTTAATATTAAGATTATAATACTTAGTAATATGCCGATACTTATTATTGATATTTCATCAACTTGCTTCACAAAACTGTCTAAAGGAAGTCGATAGATATGAAGACGAATCTTGAGGATAAAAGGATCAGTTCTATAGATAAGGAAATACTTAATCATAAAAATATGCTAAGGTGAGGCATAATTGAAGATCGATAACAACAAAATAGTGAAAACCAGGCAGGTTTAAAACCTGGAGTATGTAGACGATATTGACGTGTTGGATGAAGACGCTGACGCCGATGTAGAGTCTTCTAAAGGTGTTGAGAAGTCTGAGTATGTTTAGCGCATAAGTCTCACATCTGTCAACTATGAGGCAGTGCTCCAAAACTGGTCTTCTGCAACCACTCCCAGTTCAATGACAGGTAGTGAAGTGGTGGAATGTGTCGACCACTTCATTTAGTCAGGGAGTTGCATCAGCTGTAATGGGTTGGTTGCCGACAAAATCTCAGTTCGGATATAGAAGGCCAGATTAATAATTACCACCTTACGTTATCTGCAACGCTGAGTGGCGAGATATCCGACTATCAATCAAAGGGCGACTATACTGCGCTTCAGTTCGTCCTATCCTGTCATACAGCTGATTCGTGGTCGTTAAAAGTAGAAGACAGTAAGCGGCTTCAGGGTTCAAGTCCAAAATATCTTCGCAACAGTTGGTTAGTGACGACAGCTGACTTGATAAACGATCCTTTACTTAAGAACATGCTACCATGCAATTCACGAAGACATATTAAAGAGAATAAAGCGCTCTTTAGGGTTTGTACTGAGTGCTTGTCTGTAGGATAATTACAAATTTCCAAATTTGACTTAGTCTATGAAATGCAGAACGACAGACAGAAAAACCTAATGTAGAACCTTGCACACAATTGCATCGGTTCAACTTTCCACACTTCACACTAGCATACAAAGATTAAGTAGATATAAAAAAGGTGATATAAAAGTAGACAAAGTTGTATGAGAAAATGAACCATTTGAAGATAACGATTAGCACAAATATTCAAGCTTTACATGATGCCAAGAAGCATCAATGCGATTGACCTCCAGCCATTTTACCAACAGTCCTCAACCACTGATTCCTATAATCCCAGGGAGCCCAGCCAGGAATTGGAGATTCAAGTGAAGTCGTTTGGCATTTGCCAACTTGCGTCATCTGTGGCGCTGACTGGCGAAATATCAGTCAAAGAACTCTGCAGTTCGTTCTATCCTGTTGTACGGCTGGGAGACGTGACCGTTAAAAGCAGAAGACATGAGGCGATTACAGGGTTTTCATCATAAGTGTCTTCGTAGTACCTCTCGCGTTTGATGGAACCCCAGTGTGAGCAATGTTGAGATCATGTGAAGGGTACTAGGCAAGACAGGTGAGTCGATTGATCGGGTTGTGAACCATAGTCGACTGAGGTGGCTTGGACATGTACTGCACATGCCGACCCACCCCCCACATCGATGTGTGATACAGGGGAAGTTGGATCAGGTTGGAAGAGAATTCAAGGGGATCAGACCAACATGTTGAATCAGTTGACGAAGTTCTTGACTGTCTATCGGAGCTGTGCATACTACTGTTTGTGTAGAGGGGCACAGACTACATGACTTGGGTCCCTGAGGCATAAAGAAACCAGTGGTTGAGAACTCTTTGTTAAGTGGCCTAAAGTCGGTCAGAATGGCATAGATGTATTCCCTATTTGATGTCTTCTAAGGCTTGAATGTTTTGACTTCGGTCAATTTTTAAATTCCCTCTCTTCCCATACATCTTCGTCTGCTTTAATATCAGTCTGTTTCTTTTCACTTTTCCTTTATATCCTACTGTGAAATGTGGCGACTTGAACGAAAGCACTTGCGTTAGAGATTCTGGGTCCATTTTGTCTGTCTGTATGGTAACTTTTATGGAACTCAGTCTTTCAATAAGAGGATTTTTCTTACTATATATATATCGAGCTCACTGTTTACTTCGAAACAAATGTACATCTAGGTATAGGAGAATTGAGGAAGTGGTTTTATTTTGTTGTTATTATTATTATGATTATTATTTGTCCCTTGGGATCCTAGTCGGACATAGGCCTTCAGTAGCACATCGCCATTTCACTCTCTTCTCTCCAGTCTTCATACCTGTCTCCACCACTGCCCACAAGCTCTCATTTCTTCCTCACACCATCTCCTCCATCTCACCCTCGCTTCGGATGCCCAACTCGTCGTTTCCCATTCGGGTTCTGCTAGACGGCTTGGCCTTGCGTGGCATGTGATGTCCGCAATCAGTCTTCTCAGCGTATGCTCAATCCAATCCATCTCCACTTTCTCCTTCTGCATACACGTTGGGCGATGGGTTCTTGGTTGGTTCATCGCCAACCACAGTTCCTTCTTGCTTACTCTTTCTGACCATCTGATCTTCACTTCATATCATTAAGTGATTATCAATGGTTAACGGGAATAGGACGCTAGCTCACAAGTGTATGCATAAACAAACCATAGCAAGGGAGTCAAAATAAAATTAAAGTGGATTTGAATTCTTGTTAGAACAAAACCTTAAAAATATTGAGAAAACTCATTGTCATGTATGCTAAAAAACAGCCTTATTAGACATTCATGAAAATACTTTTTTTCCAGTTTGCACATTTTCGCGTTAACAGTCGACACTCAACTACTTTTCACGATGAACAACGCACTCTTGTGCATACTAGTTAGCATTATTCTACTATAGTTTATTGGTGGCTCATTGGTTTAGGCAGTTAGTTTTCAACCACTGCGCCATGGGTTCGAACTCCGCCTGACCTCTCGAGGTTTGGAGAGCGATGTACTCTCATAAGTCCTCACATAATAAGTGTGGCTCGTTGCCAACTCCATGAATGTGAGCCTGGTTGATGAGACAATTACGATTCTACTATTGCGAACTATTGATTTGCCTTTCAGAAATCCACTTAGCAAAAATATCGTATCCCTGAAACTTTAAACTAGAAAAGGATGATCTTGTTTTTCAGTACTATTTCTTCTCGAAACCATTATCTTCACGACATTTGTGAAAGCGTCTACTTGTTCAACAGTATACTACAGGATCTGGTTCTATTCTTTCAGTGCTGCGAGAGATCCTAGTTAATTATTTCCTGGTATATTTTAACAGTCATTCACTGTGTGTAATGCATTTTCTTTTGATTTCATTTTTTCCCTCTATAGGTCTCCTCCAGAATTGGCTATCATCATACATCTGGTAGTACAGGAGAGAACAGTATCTCTTCAAGCAGTTCATCACATATACGTGCACAAACCCCAGACCCATATGTAGATCGGTGTTTAGGCCTAGATAGCCCTAGTCATCAATGGCATCATCATCCTCATCAACAACAGCAACATCCTCTATATCAACATCAAACCTCAGATTTAGCTACTAATCCAAATATCGACCATCCAGATTATATTCCTCATTATTCACCAAGTAACAATAATGGGAATAATGCAAATTTGACTGTTATTCACGATCGACGCCGACGCGTACATCCTGTCGATGATAGTGGTAAGCAAATATGATCTCAAATGTTTCGCTCACCTTTTCCCTTGAATTTTAAACAAGTGGGTTACGTAATATTTTTCTTATTCCTCACGCGTCATTATTGTAATGGAACTTGTGTAGCCACTCATTTATCTGTCGAAATACATCATAGGTATAATCTTGTCCAGATCAGATTACTTGACACAGGCGACTGCGCACGTATTTGCGACTGAAATTTATCAATCACGGGCAGGTGCACGCACTCGTGATATGGTTGCTGAATAATACAGATTTTCTAGGCCATGCCAACTAATCAGAAACCAGTGATAAGCAACTACTCAGTTCGTTGCAACCACGTAGCTAGTGAAGAAAACAACTTTATGATAGAACTTGGCACAGAAGTGCATCACTTCAAGCATGAAAGAAAAGAATAACATTAAAATGGACAAAAGTGTATGAGTAGATGAGGGATAAATGAACTGGCTTAAATTTTCGAAGTTGGTCGATTATGAAGCACATTACCGGGAGTGTTCAAGCATTGATTCCTATCATCTCAAGGATCCTAACCGTGGTAGCCTGCACCTCCCTTATTTCCTCAGATCATCAGTCAAGGACTTCATGGAGTAGTTCCACGTCTCGGTCTGACCACCCTTAGGTTTTGTTCAACCCAATCTTATTTCGGACAACAACGTGCGTCAAGGTGGGCAATGTTCATGTCGAGGTCTTCCCAGTGAGTAAAGGTTCACAACCTCGTCGATTGATTTGCCTTCTTTATCTAGTACTATACGTCCGACGTGAACATTACTCACATGCTAGCAATACTAAAAAGCATTTATATTTTCTCATCTCTGTCACCTTCAATAAAATTTTCTAACAGCCAGATAACGAATAAAGCGATTTTCAGTCATATCACCAAGAGTCCTCAACAACTGATTTTTATCGTCTCAAGAACTCCAGCCAGGTAGTCTACATCTCCCCCACCCTGCTCAGACCAACATTCAGGGACTTCATCGACTGGTGGCGAGTCTTGGTCTGGCCACGCTGAACTCTCTTCCAACATAACCCTACATCCCCCTGCATCGCACATCGATGTGGGCGGTGAGCCTGCATGTGCAGTACATGTCCAAGCCACCTCAGTCGATGTGGTTTTACAGTCTGATCAGTCGACTTACCTTTCTTGCCTAGTACCCTTCACATGATCTCAACATTGCTCACACTGGGGTTCCATCAAACGCGAGCAGTACTATGAAGACACCTACTATGAGAACCCTATAATCTCTTCATATCTTCTATTTTTAACGGTCGTATCTCCCAGCCGTATAACAGGACAGACTAGACTGCAGCGCAGTATACTCATCTCACTACTTGGCGTCACAGATGACGCGAAATGGTAGATGGTAATTGGGCCTTCTGTACCCGAGCTCGTATTTTAACAGATACCAACCCATTACGTGCTGATGTAATTTCCTGGTAAATGAAGTGGTCGACACATTCCACCACTTCATTGCCTATTACTGACCTGAGAGTTTTTGCAACAGACCAGTTTTGGAGCATTGTCTCACAGTTGACAAGTGTGAGACTCATGCCAAACATACTCAGATTTCCGCTCATGGTGTTAAGATCATCGATTTTTTTCAGCGTCTTCACCTAGCAGAAGAATATTTTCTGGATACTCCAAATCAATAGATGTCCTTCAGGGAGTAGACTAACTCCTATGACTTATTGTTGAACTATCTGAGCCTGACTACTGACCAGGCTTTAGATTCACTACAAGCGTTGGGTTTTTTTCTCTGCATATCATGTAAATGAAACAAATGTAACTGTTTATACCGAATCTCACCAATCAACTATCAAACCACATTGTGCCTATCTAGAGAAACAAGAATTCGATGGAAAATATGATTCGATGAGGATTAACCCATATTAATAAAGTATATTCGTTCCTATGCATATTTGTATGAGTATTTTATAGAATGAATTAATCCCAACTGTTTTAATTTATCATTTTGATGAATGAATTAGGATTCCCTTCTATTCACCTAATCGTTCATCTAACTGTCTGCAATAACTTTAATTGATAGACAGGAATTGTGATCAAAGTTAAAAAGAAGTCATAATCTATGGAATGAAAACCTAAGTTTGGTTGCTTTGATTCACTATGAATTGAATAAGAACTATTGAACGCAAACGAGACAGCTAGAGGAGAGTACATTTGAATTGAATATCGTTAAGTGCAGTGGTAACTAAGTTACACTTGTTACTATTAATCGGGTGTAAGGACAAAATACTTGATCGCGCTGGCTAGTGTTTTTCACTACATCTCTAATTGACAAAATTATTAATATGTGGATGATTGGATTTCAACCTAACGCGTTCACAGTCGTGAACTCCATTCCTTTCAGAATTGTAGGTGAGCATTGCTAAAGATTTTCAAATTGGAACAAAATAACTGTCTAATGCTCACCAGGTTTTCAATCATTCTCTCCGTGATCCAAGCTACCTTGCACCTAAGAGTATATTTCAAGAAATCAGAAAACTGATATCTATGCTTACTATTGAGCTGTGGCTGCATATTAATATCGATTATCAGTGTCAATGCATAGACCGCAGCTTGCATGCGTTTCTATGCGTTTATGTATACGTACAACATTGTCAGTTTTTCTTAATATTAGTGACTTCTATTTTTGTTTTTGTTTCTTGATTTCAACTTTACTCAAAATTGCTTTTTATTAGTATCGTTATTGTTTCGTGATATGAAAGAGAATCCGTGTATTATGCATACAAGTGTGTGCTTAATGTTGGAGAATATGAACCATTTTTATTCTTTTGGCACACGTATAGCCATACAGTTAAATGACCAAGCTTGTGTGTATTCGTTTACATGTTGATTATTCTTTAGTCTTGCCATTATTTCTATGTTTTTTTGTAGTTGTACAGCAATAGATTCGTTTACTTATCTCACTTTTAATGTGTTATAACGTGTTTATAACTCTCTCTCTCTCTCTCTCTCTCTCTCTCTCTCTCTCTCTCTCTCTCTCCCTCACACATACACACATATACGTTCACTTTGGTGTTAAAAGAGTGAGTAATCTGCAATATGACGTTTTCCATGAATTAAATATGGATAATCACTGGATTCGAACAAGAATATACTACTGGACAACTTGAATAGTTAGAAATCACTCAGATCGATCTGTAGATTTCACTAACCAACCACTTGAATCTGCCTAGTTGAATTGCATGGATGGGTATACTTTAAAAGAGGATGATCAATTCGCAAATGACTTACAAACCGTAAGGTCCATGTTAATGGCCTCACTGTTGAGTAGTTTTTAAACCGCTCACTCATGGTATCAACAGGGTTTCTGTTAGAAATGAGGTCAGAGATATAAAACTCGGGTGCATTGCGTGGAAGGCGCAAAATCGAACAGTTCTGTACTAACACATGCAGTAGATACAGGGAACTACTTGGATGCTACCAAGGCCTTAAATTCGATGCATTCGATGATGTTCAGGAAACAGTGTCACAGGTTTATCACTAACTTTTTACCTAAATATTTGAAGCCGAGCAATAAAATCAGCCAAACCAATACTTTGCATTCCAAAGGAATATATTCTGGTGTTGCTTTTCTCCTATGAAGCTGCCACTCATTGGCTTAGGGAGTTGACTTACAACCAGTGATTCAAAAGTTGGAGCGCCACTCCGTTACTGGGGTTTGGACAGTCAGGTACTATCATCAACCATCACACAATAAGTGTGACTCATTTCTAGCTTCAGTTACTGAGTGCATTTCCATTTGATTCAATTTTGGTTCATTATAGACTAAATACTACTTCCTCCTTATCCCTGCTTTCTTTTATCTTTTGGCATAATTTTAACCGTGATGTTTTCTTTTGTTACTTCCTCATTTGTAACAGCTTTCTTGTGTGTTGAGTTCTTATTTGTCGCTTTCGTTACTGTCCTCGAATTTCTGCACAGATTAACATTTACATCTGTCTCTCTCCTTCTCCCATACATTATCTATACTTGTTGTGATTATGCATCATTCACTTGACACAGGCGGGATTCAGGAAGTACAAATCACGTGAAGACAAAATGCTAGCGCTACGCTAAGCATCATCATAGAACAGAGCATAGAATGGCAGTCAACTGGAGCTTTACCTCAACGTCATCGATTTTGAAGCGGCACTCGACATCGTCTACCAACAAGCGATTTGGCAGGCAGCTGGTTTCAACACTACTGTTCTAGTACCAGAAACCTTTATCAATCTCATTCAACACCTATATAATACTATATGGCACTACATGCCAAGTGATTCATAATGGAAAGCTCAATGACGCCTTTGAATTGAAGACAGGAAGGATTAAGATGAGACTGCCTACTATCACGGATGATCTTCCTGATTGTGGTCAACTGGACTGGATTGTGCAGCGAACCATGAGGAGCTGTGAGAAGATGGGCATAGGCTGTTTGACCAATGAAAAGAGCATAGAAGATTTGGATTTCGCCAATGATGATAATTCATGCCTAATGTCTTGTTGCACGAACTCGAAGATGTACAGGCAAAAACCAAGAAGTTGACAGAAGAGGTGAGGCAGAGAAGGAAGACGAGACTTCAAGTGAATGTAGAGAAGACAGAGGTGGAGGTGATGAAGATACCCAACTAACAACAACAACAAACACCAATCACTATGAACGAGAGAAATCTAAAGGAGGTTATCTCTTTCACCTACCTCTCTATCTACGCTGCATCCTTTCAACTATAGGTGGCGGTGGCACAGATGAGGATGTCAAAGACAGGATGGGAAAGGCAGGAAGACAGGCCTTCCTTCATCAACCTGAAACCAACCAGTGTGGAGATCTACTCCACTCCACTCCACTCCACTGCACTGCACTGCACTGCACCGCACTCAGCATAAAGCGTGAACAATATCCAGATTTTAACACTAATGTCAGTCAAGTGAGTCAGTGCTTCTATGTGATGGTTGAGGACTTGGCGGCACGTTATGAAAAGCATTTGCAACAAACTGCAGACATTCATCATCAAGAGGTGCTGCCTACGCTCACTCGCTACTGACACTGAAGATCAGATGGCCAGAATAATAAGAATAAGCAACAAGGAACTCTGGCTGGCTGGCTGGCTGGCAACGAACCAACCAAGAACTTATAGCCTAACATGTATGCAGAAGGAGAAAGTGGAGATGGATTGGATTGGTATACACTGAGAAGACCGATTGGGAACATCGCGCTGTAGGTCAGGCCAGGTCCTGGATTGGAACGCGAATGGGAAACGACAGTTTAGGCATCTGAGGTGAGGGTGACATGGAGGAGATGGTGTGAGGAAGAAATGAAAGGTTGTGGGTAGTTGTGGAGCGAAGTTTTGAAGACTGGAGAGAAGAGAGTGGAATGGTGATGTACTACTGAATCCCTGTTTTCCAGTAGGAACCCAAGGGACAAATAGTATTAATAATAGAATGAGGCATACGAATATCCCACTCAATCATACTTTTATTCTATCCGTATGTTTGTAGAGGTTTGATTTACTAATTGTGTAGAATATTTATAGCTCAGGTGGATGGTTTTCGTTGTATTGTGTTCTCTGAGCTGGCTTGTTTTTAATCCTGAAGCTTTCATCGTCTTACCACACATTATCAGCGCTAACTTCAGTATGAAGTGACCTGTCAGTATCTCTCTGTCAGTGATTTAGTGACTTGCCCTGACGAACCGGTTCGTTATTGTTTGTTTCCTTTGATTGTTGTGTCATTGACTGCATAGAGTTTCTGTTGGCTTTTCCTCTACTTGGTCTCTGACCTTTCCGTCGTTTATCATTTTTCTCATTAATTAATTGATTGGGTCTATTTCTACACATCTGTTGATTGCTGACTGACTGACCTGAATGCCAAGCTTGTAGGAATTCTCTAATATTCTTAGTGTTTGCACTCTCCATCCGAAATTTCTTCCAATCTATGCACTCACATTCTGTTTTTGAAAAATGTATTGGTTGCAAACTTGGATTGTGTGGATTGACTAGAATGTAACAAGTTGTTGATATAATCGCGATACTGAATGCAGTAGGACTGTTCATTGTCTGCAAGGATGACTCTGTTCGACTAAAATGTTAATGTATGAATGCGCTAGGTCAGGGACGAAATAAATCATCTTGATTGGCTTCCTGATGTATGAAATTGTCCGATAAGAATTATCCTGACCACACAGTAGCATAGATCAAATTTTGGAGTTTATTCGACAGTGGCTTAAAATATTGATTCCCATTTTATTTGTCCCCTCATTAACTATGATAAACAATTCTATCCTACAGCCTTAGAGTCGAAGAAGAATATTCTTTGTTCATAATATTGTTTAGTTCATGATATGTCAATGTTTAAATGTTTTCAGTGAGTTCTATTGGATTGCTTTTTAGTTGTTGGCCTAAATAAAGATAACTTTCCATCCGGATCGCCTAACTCATCAACAACTTATGGTTCGCTACTACGACCTGGTCGCATGCTTCCTTTGCGTTATTCTCAATCAGCTGTTAGCAATCGACCTAATAATAGTACTGTTCCATCTGGACCATTGTGTATGCTTCCAGGAGAATTTCTTGTGCACTTGAAACGTCAGTCAACTGGTTTTGGATTTAATTTAGTCGGAGGAGCTGAAGAAAATACTCAGGTATGTTTGTTGATTGAGTCACTTCTGGCTATCACTTTATTGTTGTTATCATTTGAGTAAAAATTGACATTGTTTTCAGACATAATATGGCTTAGTATTTTGCTCATAAGTTTTATGGAACCAAGATGGTTCTGAATATTGTTACCCATATCCAACTGCTGTCTAGCTCATTAACAGTATGGTAGCTAAAGTATTATTAGGACGGTTAATGTTTTTAGGTGCTTAAATCATGACATAACATCAATCAAGGAAGTGTCTGGATGTTGATCTGAATCATATAGGCATATGTTATTTTTTGCTTGTTATGTGTCAACTGCAGTATAGCAGCTGTCATGATGGCTTAAATACGTCCACTTCCTCTAGATCTTGGACATTGTATTATTTTATCTTCTTTTGTTGCCTGGTTTGAATTTCCTTACTTTTTTTTCTTCTTATAACTTTATCTACTTGCGATTGCCTTAAGGACATGATTCTAGGGTGACTTTAAAAGCCACCCCAGCAACAATCTAAACAACCAATTAAGTTTCTTCATTTCGTTGGCAAGGTAAACTTTCATAAAATAGAGTACTCTGATTGGTTACTTCAGTTGTTGCTAGGGTGGTCTTTAAAGTCACTCATGTTTCTATTGGTTCATTCAGTTGTAATGCTGACTTTGCACGTGATTGTTTTCGTGTCTACTTGCACAGTCGGGCAACTTTAAAGGCCACCCTGACAACTGAACAAAATAGCCAATCAAGCTGCGGTATTTTTTTAAATTTCTAGTAGAATAGAGAAACGTGATTGGTTGTTTTATCAGTTGCTAGGGTGCCTTTAAAGTGGTGTTCACAGTCTCGTGTGCTCAACCCACCCACACACTGAGTTATGCAATTCGGTCCACCCAACCGCTTACTACAGAACATAACGTTTGTCGCTTATTATCTATCTGTTTTAGGCGATTAATTCATCTCTATATTCAGCCAAGTTACGAGTGACTTTAAAGGTCACCCTAGCAACTACTAAATAGACCAGTCAGGTTCCGATATTCCGTCTGGGAAAGTACTTTCCCATAAAATAGAGGGATTAAATTGGCTGTCTCATCAGTTGCTAGGGTGGCCTTTAAAGTTACTCTCAAGTGGCCTAACCACAACGCACGATAACTTATTAAGACGAAACAACCGATTTCAAGGACAAAAAATGGGATAACGTACAATGATGAGTTTCTCTGAACGTGTTATTATTTTCGAAATATAAGTCATACGTAAATAGATGAGGAACCAATCCAAAGCTCTGGGACCCAGCGACCAATTAAGTTATGAGTAAAATGACTTTTAAAATCAATAATATAATACCACCAACGTCTTGTGAGATTGATGTTCACTACTTTTCGGCTGACATAACGTTTTTTTAAAGGATATTCCCAGATATATATGTCGTTATTTGGTTTTAAAAAAATTTACCTTTCATTGATCTTTCAGTATGAAGTTTGTCCAGATGGGTAAACAGTTATGCTGTTCAAAACTGTCTGCCTATACAGCATTCTTCAGAAATGTTACTTTGTGGTTTAAGTACTTTAATTTCGCCCATTAGTTGATGGCGACTCATTCAGTTAGTGAATTTAATCTAATCCAAGGTAGTATCTGATGTGGTTAACCTGTGTATCATGTACTTCTATACTTCTAGCTCAACTTTGAAGTGACTGAGTGGAAAATATTTAATACATGAACGATATTAACGTGATGAGACACTTGAGGTGGATAAGAATAGCCACTGTTCTATCTCAGAACCATATACTTCAGTGAGGCGCAGAAATCAGAAGACAAAGACCGGTCTGTGATTGTTAGGAAAACACTTTATTCGGCAAAATACGTCATTTATATACAGTTTCCATCGTCATATAAGACCACTAGGTCAAAAGTCAGGTGACTTATTTTGATTGGTCTGCTGTAGGACATAATTGTCCAGCAAGGTTTTTCCTGACCACACTGAAACATGACACAAAGGTTGCAATCCATCAAAAACTCCTACCTTAGCGGCTGATGGTTCAAAACGTTGATTTCCATTTAGGCCTCTTCTTATCAATTTTCAAGAACTAAACCTTGTTTACAGTGTTATTGAATTGTAGTTGTGTACGTTGCTTAATTTATCAGGTATCCATTGGTGCTATGCTCATGGGGGGTTCAGCACAACTTAGTGGCGTTGTACGTACTGGAGACAAGCTTATATCAATCGATGGCGTACGTGTAATCGGTGCAACGCATGCAGAAGTTGTCGATTTATTGGATAGAGCTGCACATACTGTGGGTCAAGTTACACTTGGTTTACAAAGAGGAAAGGTTAGTTCATATTGTTGTGTGTGTGTCTTGATATACACATTTGTCAGATTCAGATTACTTCCACAAAATTTATGTTGCATTTTGAAGAAAGCGATGTCGATTTCAAAGTACCAGGATCAAGTTTGGTAATGATTTCGACGCTTTGTGTAATAGTTTTGACTCAATGCTGAGGTGACCGAGTGAATAAAAATAAATACACGAATAATATTAACGTGATGAGACACTTGGAGTGGATACGAATAATAACTCTTCTCTCTCACAACTTTATAGTTCACTGAGCCATGAAGGTAACAGAGACAATGATTGGCTTGTGACTGTGAAGAATGCACTTTATTCAGCAAAAATACATCATTTGTATACAGTTTTCATGTACATAAAAAACCGCTAGGTCAAAAGTAAAATAGCTTATTCTGGTTGATCAACTGTGAGATGGATTACTCAATAAGGTTTTTCCTGACCACACAGTGATATGAAACCTTAGTGGCTGATGACTTAGAATGTGGACTTCCATTTGGACCGTTTTCTATCAAATTTAAAACTACGTGGAAAAATTAGACTTGCTTTTAGTTTTCTTATACGTTGGGAAAAAAGCTGTCCCACTGACACATTACTCAATGAATTCCCTGATTGCTTCAATAATGCAATCATCCAGCACCTGACACAAGACATCAGCTGAGCACCTTGAAGTCTTTCAAGATAATTAGAAAACAAACTAGCTTGAGTTTTCAAGGTATCGTTGAGTCTGTAGTCGTCAACTGCCTGAAAACCGATTTATGTGTTTATAAAGAAGCCGTCATCAGCCTCTCTCTACCTTGGTAGTCCCGATTACTAAACTTTTACTTTCACTTTCTGATATAATCGCTTTTTTAAATCTGCATGTTGACTTTTCTTACTTCGTCACATCATCCATTCAACCTGATATATTGATATTGACCAATAGAGTTGAATTTACTATAGCTGACACAGTTCGTTTTCTTAACCCATCTATCTGTTGAATTACAAAATTGAAATCCTAGAATGGTTTGTTCTGTTCCTGTCAATTTTAGAAGTCGCAATCATATTATTTATATAAATCACACCACATAAATTTACTCTTAATTTTCTTCGGATTTGTTGTATCTTTGACTTATTACAATTGTCTCATGTGCATGATTCTACTGATTCATTCAGTGTTTACTCTGACCTTGAACGTGATTGGCCTCGTTCACTCAATCCACCCACACAATGGGTCACACATTTTCGCCATCCCAAACATTAACGGCAGAATATAGTCTGGTACTTACTCTCCGTATATGCAACCAAATTACCTGACTAAATAAGTCATAAGTAAAATGTCTTTTAAAATAAGTAAAAATAATACAAATGACACCTATCTGAGGTTCACATTTTCCACTTTTCGGATTATTCATTTTAATTTCGTACTTCACTATATCAATTTTCATCCGTGCTGAGACCTGATTGAACATTCATTCTTGTGAATAAAAGTTTAATTAAACTTCTGTTATAAATATTTATCTTTTCTAGTAGTTCAGGCTGTAAGTAGCTGAAGAGAAACTAACGAAATTAAATTATGCCATAGTATTCCGTTCAAATTATTGTCCGTGTTCTTTTCAAGGTTGAATGTATGCTTCAAATTCTTACTCACTTTTGTTTTTACTTTGATATGATTATAAAAAATAAATTATGCTTGAATAATTAACCAGTAAATAATACTATTTTGTGATTGTGTGCTTATATCAGTCAACAAATTTAATGTATAGCTAGTCGATTTATCAAAGGAAATGAGAAACATTCAACATGTGTTGACGTCTACAGGTTGCTAGGAGAAAAAAGTTGTATGCTTTTACTTTCCGTAACATTTTTAGTCAACCAAATGATATCATCTGTATCAGAGTTAAAGCGTGGAATTTTATCCATATATAGATGAAAACAAAACTGAAATAAAAATTTTTGGGAAACATTTGATGGAACTAATTAATGCTGTCGTCTTACTATAGTGACCCCCAAATGACCTTGAGAAGACCAATCAGAATCGAGTAGGTTGTTTCACCATTTAGGGGATCTGATTAGGTTTGTAAATCCCATTACAAAAAATTGAATGTTTCTGCTAGCTTAAGAGATAGTTTCAGTCATACGTCTGAGTTTTCAAACTAAAGCTTAACGTCTAAACTGGCATTAGGGTCAAGAAGTTAGGTAGCAAAGTTTCATTTTTTTTAGCTATTAAAATGAAGTAAGATCAAGATGACGAAACGATACTATGATGAATGTATTTACCTTAAATTGTGATCTGGTATAAGCCACGCATTCCTAATTTCTTTGACTTCAGGACAACGCAAATAACTAAAGAAATATTCAGAATAGACACACAGACAAAATCAATGAGAAATCTGGAACTAAGAGGCATCCCTTAAATTATCCCACTTCATAACAGCATGCGAAAATAAATGACTAGAAAGAAAGTGACTGTAAAGCAAACAAAGGTATACGGGACGAGAAGGAATTTGAAAATCGAGATTAAGGAAAATCGCCGAGCTTTAGAAGGCGTCAAACAGTGAATACCTCTGTCATTGTGACCGATTTCCAGCCATACCACTAAGAGTCTTCAGTCGTTGGTTTCTGTGGTCTCTTGGATCTCAAATAGACAATCTACACATCATTAGACTACTTAGACCAAAATTCAGAGACTTTATGGTCTAGTGCAACTTCTTGGTCTGACCACCCTTAGCTTTATTCAACTCCAATCCAGCTTCTGCTAGCATTGCACGTCGAGGTCGATAGTGGGTTTGAATGTGCAACACTAGTTAAAACCATTTCAGTTAATGTAAGTACATAACCTGATCAGCTGACTTGTTTTCCTTGAGTAGTTCTATTCGCTTAGACTTGATGTTGTCCCCATACGGTGACTACGCTGCGCGAGCAGTGCCACGAAGACACATACAGTCAAAACCTGTAACCTCTTCACATCTATCTTCGACGACGATGTCTCACGTCTGCATAATAGGACATGGCAGACTAACGCAGTATACTCCATATTTGATCGGTAATCGGATATCTCACTGGTGCCAGAGGTGATGTAAGTTTGCGAATACTGAACAGGCCTTGTGTATCTGAGCTGAGGTCTCATCAGTAACCAACCCATTGTGGCCGATGCCTCTCCCCAAGTAAGTGGAGTAGTCAATACAATCTACCATCTCACCCCTCTATCAATAAACTATGCGTAGCTGTAGATTACTCCTGAAGCAGCATCTTACATTTCACTGATACCAAATTCATGCCTGATATATTGAGATTTCTGGTCAAGACGCTCAAAAAAGCTTACTTTTTTCAGCGTCTTCACCTAGCAGGGTAATATCGTCTGTGTACTCCAGTTCAACTGGATACATTTCATGGAGTAGACTGATCAATACCTCCGAAGCTCATGCTCATTAGTACATCTACAATGAAGTTGAAGAGGAACGGCGGAAGTGGACACCACTAGTTGTCATCAATTCAGATGACAACTCTCCATATGCCCCTATATGGCTGCGTCAGTTCGAGTAGAGAGGTTTCGTTAGCGATACATACTTGCTCGGTACTCCTTTCACAGTAAGACACTGCCGCAATACCTTACGGGGTTGACAAAATCAAAACATAGCAAGTGTCGGATGCAGCTAAGTATACCAGTGCTCCAAAGCCTGTCGTAAGGTAGGAATATGATAGACGCACTCTCATCCAGGTCTTTCTGAAACCTACCTGGTTTTCTCGAGCTCCATTTAGGCATCGAGTAACTATGCACCCTAGGATCTTGGACACTGTTATCAGTCAAACTAATTCCCCCATTGTTGTTGCGATATTTGTCTCCCTTCTTATAGATTGAGATGATCAATGAAGTACACCGGTCTGAAAGCACTACCTCTAATTCCTATACACTACCAAGTACTTCCATGACTCTTATCATCAATTTCCTAATTCCATTGTTAAAGACTTTAGGTGGCAAAATATCAGGCTCTACTGCTTTGCATCGTTTCAGGTTCGATCCAGCTTTCTCAACTTCACGAAGAGTTGGAGGACCGACTTCTATATCCCATTTAGGTCCAGGCTGAATGTTTGGCAACTGAAGTGTTGCTGAGGGTCATTTGAACTGTGCTTTAAAGTGTTCTACCCAACGTTCTAGCCCTCTGTCCAGAAAATTTATCAGCGTCTCATCCTTTTTGGTGATAGTTTCATTCACCATCGTTTTCTTCTTGCCGGTATCCTTAATAAGCTTAAATATTTGCTGCATTTTACTCAACGCTGATATCTTCTACACCTTTCACTTGCCATCCACTACCCACCACAGCTCGTGATAATTGCGAAAACGCTCAGTCGATTTACATTTCAGGCTGCTTTCATCTCTTGTTTTGATTAGGGTCAGCTGGAATAAGTCTTCTTGCACTAATCAGTTTTACTGAAGTTGGGGAAACTGGAAGCTTTTGATAAATTTTAGATTTAGTTTACTGACCGTTTTTAGCGCTGTTTCCACTTTAGACTGAATTAAGCACCAGAATTTATCAGGAAGAGAATCTCTATTTTGTTCTGACAAATACTTCGATAAGTTGTCTCTGAACAAATACTGAAGGTCCTTATCTTCTTGCCGATCACACACAGACTTCACTGCTGTCTGTTTCCTGTGACCGGTTAGGTGCAAAAATATGCTTTCTCGTACTAACACGTTGTCTGAGTCTAATCAGATGATCCAGGAAGAGCGAAGATCCTCCGCAGATCCTCTGCAAAGATAGTTTATAGAAATATGATTTACCTGCGATGATTGTTAGTTTGGTGTTGTCAGATGCAAAGTGAGTCGGTATCTCTCTTTATACCTGAAGTAAGTGTTAGCCAGAAACAAGTGATCATCAGAACGAAATTTCAAAAGGCGATCACCAGTCTTTTAGTTGGCTTGGATTTCTGTAGATCCCCCGAGATGCCTTTCTGAGTGGTTCACTTTTCCTACTTGAGCGTTGAGCGTTGCGACTAAACTTCAGCTTTATTTAGGAAAACTGACATATTTCAGCAGAATTCATCCTTTGCATCGTCCTGACTGCTGTCGGTAGGTGCGTAGGCGAAGATTACGAATAGATATTGGGTGGTCTCGCTGTCCTTCCCAATTCTTACAGATCGATTTAGTCGAACAGCACATAGACGGCTATTGACTGGTATCCAGTCGAGGATTGTGCTTTCTGCCCCAGAACTTAATGCAATGCCTACAATAACGAGGTCACGAGGGCTGGCCATTGTGTCAAAAATATAACCAGGTGCTACATATGCGTCTCAGAAAAGCGGCACATCTTCATGTCTTGAGATTCATGAGTTCTAGAGAGAGATGCCTGCACTCTGATTTAGTTTACGGTTTGGACGTCGAAAGTTCTAATGGGAAATCGGCAGCGTGGTTTTAGGAAACTTGGAGTGGCATTTTGCTTGCCTGGATCGGTAGCAGTGGTGGGAAAGTAAGAGGTTGAGGAAGTTTTAAGGGACTTAATTCTGTTATCAGGAAGTGAAAACAAGGGGGATGGAGAAAAAAAATTATAGAAGGTAGGTTGTGGTTGCTCGCATCTTGTATGCTGCTGGAAGCGTGCAAGCGGTTTGCACTTTATGGCTACCCATACTATAGAAGTTGTTCCTTCAAAGCATTTTAAGAAGAAAAGTTGGTTTCTCATGACGGCGGAGCTTATGGAACGTTTACTTCATGTCTATGACTTACCGCCTTTTAAATATTGTTGGATCCAAATTTGATTGTGTTAATGCTGGACAAGAAAAACCCACTTTACCGGCACAGGAATATCACATATCAGGGAGGAATGTGCTTTTTCTTGGCAATCCTTTGCTACTTTTGATATATGAGCGACAAACTTCCTATTGGATCTAAAATATAATTAACAGTTAGAGTTCACTGGGCATGTTACTTACAGATACGAGAAGTCTCTAGTTCCACAAAATATTTGTGATGAAGTTAATAACCAGGTGATTATTAATTAGTAAGTCTCCACCATTTTACTCGTAATTATCGATCCTTCCTGCTACGTTATGATTTGCTGTCATGGTATTTCTTTTCTAGATTGCACGTCATCATCGTGTTCTCATAATTGTTTCCCTAATTGCTTTCCCAACACATTTTTAAGCGCTGTTGTCATTCATTTTCATACAAATCGTAGGTTGAATCGGAGAACAACAATGCTCGTCGTTTGTCAGAGCCAGTAGATGTTGTCATTTCAAGAAGTGAAAAAGGCGATGGTTTCGGTTTCTTTTTGACAAATACAAGACCAGGAAGTAATCCACAGTCTAAACATTCAAATCCGAACAATAGTCTTCAGAATGCAGAATATATCGGTACGTTTACAATTGCTAAGTGGTGATTTGGTTTTAAAAGTGTTGGTCGTTTTCGATTTCTAAGGCTTCTATCACATCTATATTCAAAGTATCTCGGATAAACTGTAAAAGCTACAGTAAAGAGCAATTATTTGTTATTAATACAGCTGTTTTGCGTAGTCTAAGACCATAGCTGAAGCTTCAGATATGTCTTCAATGATACCAACTACTGAATGATGTTTTGTTGCATGTTCTGCACTTGTGAATTACAACCACTGCATAGAAGAAATATGTCATAGCTTCGAACTCCTTTCCACTCACTAGACAATCAGGTAACAGCATTAGCCATCACGGCTCAGACCAAAAGTCAGAGACTTCGTCGAATGATGCCATATCTTGGTCTGACCACCCTAAATCGTATTCCAACCTAATCCAACTTCACTTAACATGGCATGTCATGGTAGTCGGTGACTTGGCATGGACCTGTAATGAGCATGCTGATCCACTGCCTACCTCAGCGTGCCATATTAGGGGAAGTTGGATTAGGTTGTGAGAGGGTTCAGGGTGGCCGGATCTGGACGTGGCACCAGTCGATGAAGTCTCTTACTGTTGGTCTGAGTCGTGTGGAGAGATGTATACTGCCTGGTCGGCGGCCCCGAGACGATAGGAATCAGTGGTGACAATGGCGCAGATGTATTTACTTCTTGACATCTGTAGTGTGAATATTTGCACTAACCTTTAGATTCCTATTGTTTAATCTCTCGCTCAACTTCGTCTACTTTGACATCAGTCTTTTTTTATCCATTTGTTCTTTGTATGCTACTGTGAAGTGTGAGAAGTTGGACCAATACACCTGTGTGCAAAGTCTGTCCATTAGCCATCATGTAATAGGTGTTCTCACAACTTGCTATGCCAATTTTTATTCGATCATTGGATTTCGGTATTCGAATTATTATAGCAATGATAATATTTTTTTGGAGAACGCAAGTTACTATAATGGTCATTATTTTCAGTATGAGGCATAAGCAACCTAGGCTGGTTAACTAGTTCACTAGTTACTAGCCGGTCCTAAGCCCAGATAAAAAGGGAAGCTTGGTCATAGGGCTAGCAACTCTACCCCATCAAACCAATCCAACCGCTAAACAAACTTCAAAACACAAATAAAATATAAAACATAAAATTAAACCCATTCCTCTCTGGAATCCAAGAGGAGAAATGATGCCAGTTGGTGAAAGCCTTCGGGAAGCCAATTGGCCAATGTGTCTTCTCTTCTCTCGATGAAAGCAAAAGTAAATATGAGGATATGGAATGTCCACACGATGTTCGAAGCTGGCTAGCTGACAAGACTGCCCAGATTGCAAACGAGATGAGAAGGTATGACATGGAAGTGCTTGGAATCTGCGAGAAATCAGCAGATGGAATGTAAGTAGACTCTCCTAACTGTCAACTGTAGAGGAGTCAATAATCTACTCCGATATTGTCACCTAGACGACAATGACGGGCACACTGTGTTTTCGAGTGGCTATCATGATGTCCCCAACAACATCTAAGGCTCTCTCTCTCATGCAATGGGAACCAATCTTCTCCTGCTGGATCAGGATCATGAAAGCAAGATGGATTCAATTCAAAGGAAGGAAAGTCACAATCATATAGTGTTACGCTACGCACCTACAAATAATGCAGATGAAGAGAAGAAGGAGGAATTCTACAGATAACTGCAATCAGTAATGGACAAGACTCCAACGGAGTTGGCGACATAAAAATTCTAATGGTTGGGGTGACATGAATACTAAACTGAGAGCGGGCAATACAGGTAGAGAACCAATCATGGGTGGAGAAGCACTCGGTGAAGTGAGGAATGAGAATGGAGAACTGTTTGCAGAAGAAGAAAATGAAATCTTCACGTCGGTCAACCATCAGGACGAAATGGAAGACATTGACCGACGTCCCTGCAGGAACCTGTGAGGAAGAACAATGGAACTCTTTGAAAGGTATGTGGAGAGAAACCTGCATAACCGTATTAGAAAGGAAGAGGAAAGAAGACAAGGAATGGATCTCGACGGACACATGGAAGCTGATAGAGGTGGTGAAGCTGCTCATGGTGAAGCGTAAGATGAAGGAGTCCAGTGCAGTGAAGGGGGATGAAGAAAGAAAAGAGTAACTGAGTACAGAGTATAAAACACTGAACAAATAAGTGAAGAAGAGTGTGCACAAAGACAAAAGACACTTCCACGACACACTGGGAAGTGGAACAGAACAGGCTGCAGGTAGTAGAGACCTGACAACATTATATCAAATAGCCAGCTTACTTATTATCTGGGAAGAGATGAACTCATACGAAACCAATGAAAGATAGTGAAGGAAACTTGGTTACCGGCAAAGAGGAGGACCAGATTTAATTCCGTCGGAAGCACTGAGAAGAGACGCAGAGACAACAGCGGACATGCTCACACCACTTTTGAAAAGGGTTTGATTGGGAGAAGGGCTACCTAGTCATACTTCCAGAGTCTTTGCAAGAACTGGCGCAGAATCATGCTCCTGTCCACCCGAAGCAAAATATTAAGCCACATCATCCTATCGAGACTAAAACGTGCGCTGGATTCAAAATTACAACCGGAACAGGCTGGCTGGATTCAGGAAGTACAAATCACGTGGGGGCGAAATTCTAGCGCTACGCTACCCATCATCATAGAACAGAGCATAGAATGGCAGTCAACTGGAGCTTTACCTCAACGTCATCGATTTTGAAATGGCACTCGACATCGTCTACCAACAAGCGATTTGGCAGGCAGCTGGTTTCAACACTACTGTTTTAGTGCCAGGAACCTTTATCAATTTCATTCAACACCTATATAATACTATATGGCACTACATGCCAAGTGATTCATAATGGAAAGCTCAGTGACGCCTTTGAATTGAAGACAGGAAGGAGTGAGATGAGACTGCCTACTATCACGGATGATCTTCCTGATTGTGGTCAACTGGACTGGATTGTGCAGCGAACCATGAGGAGCTGTGAGAAGATGGGCATAGGCTGTTTGACCAATGAAAAGAGCATAGAAGATTTGGATTTCGCCAATGATGATAATTCATGCCTAATGTCTTGTGGCATGAACTCGAAGATGTACAGGCAAAAACCAAGAAGTTGACAGAAGAGGTGAGGCAGAGAAGGAAGACGGGACTTCAAGTGAATGTAAGGAAGACAGAGGTGGAGGTGATGAAGATACCCAACCACCACCAACAACAACATCAACAACAAGCACAAATCACCATGAAGGAGAGAAAACTTAAGGAGGTTGTCTCTTTCACCCACCTAGGCAAGGCAGCATCCTTTCAACTATAGGTGGCGGTGGCACAGATGAGGATGTCAAAGACAGGATGGGAAAGGCAGCAAGATAGGCCTTCCTTCATCAACCTGGAACCAATCATTGTGGAGATCTACTCCACTCCACTCCAGTGCACTGCACCGTACTCAGCATAAAGCGTGAAGAATATCCAGATTTTAACACTAATGTCAGTCAAGTGAGTCAGTGCTTCTATGTGATGGTTGAGGACTTGGCAGTGCGTTACGAAAAGCATTTGCAACAAACTGCAGACATTCATCATCAAGAGGTGCTACCTACGCTCACTCGATAGTGAAGATGGATTAGATGTCGAGAAAGAATAAGGAAGAGGGAACTGTGGTTGGCGAGGAAACCAACCAAGAACCTGTCGCCCAACGTGTATGCAGAAGGAGAAAGTGAAGATGGATTGGATTATTCATACAGTGAGAAGACTGATTGGGGACATCGCGCTGTAGGTCAGGCCAGGTCCTGGAGTGGAACGCGAATGGGAAACGACAGGTTGGGCATCTGAGGTGAGGGTGATATGGAGGAGATGGTGTGAGGAAGAACTGAAAGGTTGTGGGGAGTCGTGGAGCGAAGTTTTGAAGACTGGAGAGAAGAGAGTGGAATGGTGATGTGCTACTGAAGCCCTGTGTTCCAGTAGGAACCCAAGGGACAAATAGTATTAATAATAGACTGAGGCATACGAATATCCCACTCAATCATACTTTTATTCTATCCGTATGTTTGTAGAGGTTTTATTTACTAATTTATTTTAGGTTGGAGTTCATCATGAACTGACAGCAGCTGGAGGTACTGTGAAGATCTGGAAGTGCTAGATAGCTATTTCATCTTGATATGAAACTCCGCAACAGTGCGCACGCATGACCTCGCCAGGGCGTCGAACCCAGGACCTTCCTAGTCGAATATGAGGATAGTTACTCAACGACGACACTGGGTGTAGGTTGCAGTATATGTAGACTACTGGATTCCAACTCAATGTCTCAATTTTAACGTGCTGGCCACGGAACCAGAATGCTGTGGGTTCGATACCTGGTGGGGTCATGGCTGCTCATTGCTGAGGAGTTCCATACTAGGATGAAACAGTTGTCCAATCCTCCTAGGTTTTCAATGTTCGTCCAACTGATATCAATCCATGGTGAATTCCAACCTAAAAGCAATCCTACTCTATTTATTTATCTCATACCGTACTCATCATCAACTACAATACGAATATGATCCGTTTCTTCGTTAATAAGGCGAATTGAATACTGACTTAGTAATCAGATTTTCATGCTATCAACTCCCATAATGTTATTCATATTTGTATATAGGCAATTACTAAAAGAAGGGTTATATTTCAACATCGAATCATCAGTTCAACTAAATTCATTTACGACACCAATATACGAGCTTTATTCTATTTGCGTTGTTTTGTTTCACAGGAGAAACGGATAGAATCAGTCGCCTAGTATTTGAATGTAAAGAAACGCCTTATTTACTTGTCGTTTGATTCATATTCAATTGGGATTCAGTTTGAATGCTGTTTAAGGAGTAAACATTCTGGAAATAATAAACTAAAATAATCACAGTCAAAGTAGATATCATTTGAGTTGTGACTGACATAATACAGGCATCTAAATTGGATGGGTTGTCTTCTCAGATTGTATCCGTCTGTCGAAATAGACACTATCATCAGTACAGCTTCTCTGATTTCTGACCTTACAACTGTTTATCAAATATGAATGCTGAAAACATCAATTACTTTTTCATTTCTTCAAATTTATAAAATTGATTATTTTCCACTTTATCTTCTTAAGTTTTTGTCATTTCTCCACTACTATCTGGAGATTATATCCAGTAATCAGTGATTTGTTTAAGTTTCAATAGTTTGAAAGAAATACTACTATGGCGTTTTTAATTCTTACTTTTTAGCTCAACTTGTGCCGGGTAGTCAAGCGGAGCGTATGGGTCTACTGTCTGTTGGTGATCAAATATTGGCTGTAAACGGTATTCCAACTTGTGGATTACATCATGATGAGGTTGTTCGTCTTATTCGAGAAAGTGGTAATCATATTGCCTTGAAAATTTTACCATATTCTGGTAAGTATTATAGATATGTGTTGTCATCATTTGCCATAAGTTTATGTGAAGAGTTCAAATCTCTGAGATAAACTATGTTTAGTGATAATCTTATAGACTTGCTAATGATAATAACACATTATTTTTGTGATTGGAGTCGGTGAAAACATCGAAATATACCTGGCAAACACGTGCACATTTATCCAGTATGGGAGTAATGATACGACACAGTTGTCCACTCTTCTGTAGGTGGAGCGTGGTACCTACCAACCCGTGAATCATTGGTTGAAAGTGAACTACCCAGACAATTGAGCCACATTCCAACTCATTTCGTAAGAACACAGAGAGTTCGTAGAGTGATTCTGAAGCTTTTCAAGCCACAGAACTGCTAAAAGGTTCTGAATTAGGGAGAAATCAGTATCGACTTCTTTCCCAGTGTTCAAGTGGTTTTTGTTTTCTGGATGAAACCACTGTCTACTCTGACATGTTAAGAATGGCTAAACCAAAACATATTAACAAGAGTGATTGTTAGTTTGGGTCATGTGGAGGAATATAAGCTTTTTGTTGGGGATCTGTAGGATAATAAAAATTGATGGCCTACGATTTTAGGTCATGTGGCTTAAAATTGGTCACAGTATTTCCTTTAATTTTGCTAACTTTACGTCATGATCATTACTATTATTGTTTCCGTACCAATACTTTTAACTGTAACTGAATGGTTGGTTCAATTGGAAAGCACGATTTTCTAATCTTCGTGTTTAGATACTTTCAACTGCGAAGATTTGTAGCTCGAGTGGATGGTCTTGGTTGTGTTTTGTTTTCTAAGCTGAGTTTCCTTTCAATCAAAGGAAACAACTAATCATAAACTAGTTCGTCACCGAACGCGGTGGCCGCTGGTTCGAATCCGGCCATAGTCCAGATTTTCATTTCATCTTCAATCATCACCCAGCATAATTGGCATTTGACCAGTTTACCAATACATGCACTTCTGATTCATAGTTATGGTTTTTTCGACTGGTGCATTAGTTTTCTACAATCTACAGTCCCTACCGATAGCTACTACCCTTGACGTGGTGGTCGGGCTTGTATGTGACAATAACTCAACGAGCTACACTGTCTGGAACGCTTCTTCCCTCGGGATCTTACAATATTAAGAAAGTAAGGTAGAAAACAATTAACGTTGTAATGTAAATCACTACACTATGATGAGGTCGTTATACAGGCTGGATGGGGTGTGACGTCAATAAGGTGTTTCGCTTTGATGACTAGTAGTGCCACGTTGATGCTACCTTTCCTGTGGGAAGAAGGGGTTAGAAAGGGTTAGCCCCAAAAATAGCACACCTTCCACCTACCTACAGTTTTCCGGTGCCGGGGGTATAGGTTTCCTCATTCCGGTGTTAAAATAATCAAATCTCACATCAACAATCTTGAAAAGGCTGTATGTGACAGGCTTCAAGCAGATGTCCAATGGACTCTGTGGTCACACAAATCTTTTTCCTTTTCAGGTACCTTAAGAAGAAATAGATATCCATAGTGTCAGCAGCCGGGAAGTATCAATCGCCTGCATGCTTCCACTAGTATTCAAGACCTAATCTAACATAACCCGTTTTGTTTGTCTATCTGATGGTCTACACTGTGTGTTGTGTCTGTCAGTAGGCGGATAGCCATTTTATTTTGAAGGTTGCGCTACGACACATTTTTGTCATCTGCTCGGCTAAGTAGCTATGACACACAACTGTTGGAAGTTTAAGATTTGTAAAAGTTGAGAGTGTTTTTCTTGGGTTGTTTACTGTTGGCAATCAGCATTCATACTATTTTGTTAGTTACCAACTTCACTAGCTTCCACCTATCATCACACTAAACGCCTATTAAGGCATGACTATAGATATTTACAGTGCACAAGATGCTTCTTCAAAACATCTGTGACCTAAGTAATTTATGCCATGAGATTGTGAACGATTTTGCAGGTGAATGTAGTACTCGGAACACATTTTATTGTAGTTTAGAGAAGGATAAGTGAAACGAAGAGAAACTCAGATCAGTCGAGACTGAAATATATGACACCATTCTATTTAGTTGTTGATGGGATCCCCAGAATAAAACATATCCACTTCATTTCAGCGTCTTTTTATTACCTATACGCAAATGGAAGAAAGAAACATTATAAAAATAAACGTATATCATTTCATGTGCTGAATTTCAGACATTACCAGCTTACAAAATAGTAAAGGAAAGCAAGGCACTAAAATGCATTCAAACTAGACGTATATCTGTAAGATAGAGATTGTTCAGAAATCAGTTACAAAAAATTAAATCTGTAAGGAGACAACTACGTAATTGCATGAAAAGTAGTATATATATATATATATATATATATATATATATATATATATATATATATATATATATATATATATTTCATGTTGACTAACCACTGGAGAATAACTGATTTCATGCTGCCTTGTCCAATGGGATTTTGAAAGTAAGAAACACTACATTGCGGTTGCATATACGTCTCACTGACGAATGTTCACAAGTTCGAAATCTACTTTCAGAGCTTCCTGTCGGTAGTATTCAACCACGTTACACGTGAATTTTTATTTGTGAGAATAGGAAGTGCATGCTATTTCCCTTTTGAGTAACGATTTCAGGTTTAAATACATTGCATCACAATGCTCTCAACAAGATAGGATATAAACTTCAACTTCTTTGTTAGCCGAATGATACCAATCGAGTACAGTCGTGTAGTACCTGATACTAAAAGGTGCATTGGCTAGTTTCCAAACTATGCGAAAACAGAATCAACAGAAGCATACATTTTATAGACTTCAGTATCAAAATTTGACCCGATAGAGTTAAGCATTGGGTAAATGGATTTTAAAAAATGACATTTCGGGACCTCCTGGAAATCGCTTCTTCAGAATATAGGACCTGTACAAGTTACCGCATGTTTAAATGGTAAATGTCGACAGATCAGACCACGCTGTTCATACATGATAATAACAATAATAGTAACAATGACAATAATATGGGAATAAATGTCATTGTTGTCCGTTATCAGCCTGTGAGGTAAAGGTGAAGATTAGAATGTGTGCACATATGTGGTTGGTTGTGAATGTGTGAGAAAAATACTATGAATTACCAATTTAGTGTGATAGAATTCCTTTTACCTTCACACAGAATTGTGTCTATAGATTAGGCTGTGTCGAATTTCGGTGCTTATATTGGGGAATCATCTTGTGAAGTCCTTATTCGTGTGAAAGAATATGCAAGTTACACAAAACGACCGGCAAGTAACCCTGTAGAACCAGAGAATTTATAAGCCAAATCGGCAAACGCTGTTCATACTGTCTATCAGTCACGAAATCGACATTAGAAATTGTTGAGACCGAGTGAGTATAATGTTTATGAGACTCAAAGGACACCTCAACCGAAAACTTTTACTACTGACCTCCCTCAGTACCTTCTGCTTCACTAAGCCGCGGAAAACCAGAAGTCAAAGACAGCCCGTAACTGCAAGAACAACAACAACCTTATTAGATAATACACGATATAATACACGATATATATGTATTTACAAAACTCTCAGAAAATGAAGCCGTAAATGAACCAATCCGATTCGTTGTATGATGTCGAATTTCTCCAATCAGGTTCTCATGTCAGCCCATGCATAAATCATGATTTGAACATGATCTGAAAACAATTCCTCTATTGTCTGCCTTTTGTCGCTACGTTTCAAAAATGTTAAAATTATTCGAAACGGTTTTTCAAACTACAAAGAGAGACGGATTGGTGAAGCATTTCACATTATGCTGAATCCTATCCTAATATTAATGCTTGCAAGAGAAAGGAAGGCCAACTTGGATAGTATATCTAAAATAACACGTTACATATAATAGTCTTAACAAAAGTACATACATAAAGACAAACCGAATCCGTTATCCATGGTATTTTTCTTAGACATTCATACCCAGTCACATATGTACACACATTCTCATCTTCACCTTGACCTCACAGGCTGATAACGGATAAAAATCAACAACATGGTCTGATCTGTTTCCATTTACCATTTAAACATGAGATAACTTGTACATAAGCAACTTCCACGGCGTCACAAAACGTCAGAAATTAATTTTTCTACCTCACTGAGATTTCACAAACATATTCAAGTTAGATAAAAGATTGATTGAGTGAAGAAATGTATTCCTTTTCAGTTAGGTCTTCATCTTGGGCCTTATGCTAATATATAGGTTTATAATACAATCAAAATACCAACCAAGTGGTATTGCTGGTAACTAGCCCCTGTGGAACTAGTTACATTGAGCGTATAATGAGACAGGTCCATCAAACATTACCCATTATAGCTGAGCAAGGGATAAATTAGCACAATAAACAGCTCCGTACTTGCACTCTTAGTTGACACTGGACATCAAGTGGATATTAGAAAAACATTTAAAACTGTTCATCGCATACCAATTAATTTAATATATGGATTACGCATTCGCTTACTTCACATAGCAGAAGCGACTTCAATCCACCTTTACAAACCTAACTTTTGTATTTAAAAGAAATTTGTTCGACCACTTTCATTACTGTGACCGTCAACATGATGTAACTCCTAGTATTACTTTGTATACCTCTTCACCCGATTGTTTCTGGTAATATTCATTTGTTTTCTTATTATTACGTGATTTCAAGTTAGTATTCATCATGGACTGACATCAGTTAGGGGGACATTGGAAACACGAGAGCACTGGACAGCTATCTCGTCCTAGTATGGGACTCCCCAGCAGTGTACACCCGTGACCCTGCCAGGGGTCTGATCCAAGACCTTCAGATTCAGCGGCCAGTACGTTACCATTGAGCCATCGGGTCTGAATTCAATGGTTCGTATTTCCTACTTCTGTCAGTTCACGACATAGCGCGACCACCACCCTATGTCATCGTTGAGTATTTATCCTCATGTTCATGTCCAGGTTTGTCCAAGCGGTCACAACTTTTCATTGGGACTTCAGGAATCACCTCTGGAAGCTAGTCCCTAATGAGTACTAGATGAGTTCAATTTGGGGTTTTGTAGGGATTTATTGATTTCAAGTTGGTATTTATCATGGACTAGTGACATCAGTTGGAGGAACATTGCAAATCTAAGAGCATTGGACAGCTGTTTTGTGCTGGTAATTACTACTTGTTTTGACTGAACACCCTAGAAGTTACCATGCAACTTACCTAAGAATAACGTTCTTCATTTTACTAATTCTAATTATTCTATTGATTACTTATATCTTGCTTTCTCAAACCTATCATCGTCTTCTTGACTTAAAATCTATAATTTATTGTTAACCGACCCCGCCATCACCACTAGGTTAGTATTTTGATCAAATTGTAAACCTACATATTAATGTAGAATCAAAGATGAAGACCTAATTGTAAAGGAATATGATTTCTTCTCTCTATCAGTCTTTTTTCTAAATGTTTAAATAGGAATATTCAATATTCAATCTAGAATTATAAATATATGAAAATGAACATGAGTGGAAGGAGAATAAGTAGACAAAGGCTTTTGAGATGTTTTAAAAGTAACAAACAACGAATACTACTGCGTCATTACAAATGATTTTCAACCGTATCAATTAAGTTTTCTAATAATTAAATTTCGAAATCCTAAGAAACAATCTAGAAGTCTACACTGTATGCCTAGTTGAGGTAATCAACTAGTATATGAATAGATTGATATCATGTGATAGTCCACTTGCTGGTAGTTTGCTTCTGGAAGTTAGATTACCGTTTGAAGTATGCATTAGGTTGATAAGCAAGGCGTATGCCTTGGGTGTTTCACTCAATGTGACTTTACGATCGTGTTCATTGACTTAATTTCTTTAGAAGTAATATCCACCTTGTTTCAACATCAACAACATAAGCATTTTACCGTGAAATGGTTCAAAGACACGCCTAATGAATAATTTGGTTGGTTGTGGCTAACAGAGGAATTCAGGGCGCTCGTTTCGTCCTATTTGGGACTCGTCAGCTGAGTGATCTTGTTCCCACTGAGACTTGAACCTCGTATCCATCGCTTCAAACACCAAGGCGTTATCCACTATGCCACGGAGGAATGATAGCCACTTCTTGTGCAACGAGTAGTAGTTATTACTATTTATTGATGTACTTATAATTCTCCGTTGTTTTATTGGATCGAATTGTTTGACCTCTATTAGCATATGGGCTCCTATGCGGATGCCTCGATATTGCCCGAATGTTAATTATGGTAATTTGGTTGGTTGTTGCCAGCAGACGAGTCCAGGACGCGCGTTTCGTCGTATTTGGCATAGTGGATAACGCCTTGGCGTTTGAAGCGATGGGTAAGAAGTTTGAGTCTTAGTGAAAACAACACTCACTGGGGTGCAGGGTACATCCAGCTGACGAGTCTAAAATAGGACGAAACGCACGTCTTGGATTCCTCTGCTAGCCACAATCAAATTACCATAGTTGATATTCAGGCAATATCGAGGCATCTGCACAGGAGCCCATATGTCAATAGAGGTCGAACAATTCGATCCAATAAAACAACGGAGAATTACATCAATAAATAGCAACGCCTTATGAATACTTATAATGTTCTCTTATTCTCAGTCTTAAGTTGTCACACAGCCTGGGTAGGTTGTAAAATAGAGTGAGTTGTTTTACACCATGTTTATCTTTTTTTTTAGTTATTTGAATATGCCCCTATGGGATGATGTATATCGGTGAATGGAAAACGAGTTTTTCTTGGATGCATTCTAAAGTCTCCTCAGTAATAAACACTTATGAGTTATTGAAAATTTGCAAACAACTAAAGTGACCAATACACTCAGCCAACTTATTCCAGGTTGTTAAACTGATCGCCTTTGCGGATCAGTCTTAGAGGATCATGCATGCTACGTTTGTTAGATGTGGAACATATTTGATTTGTGCTCATTTGTTCGCTCAAGTAGTCCAGTAGACGATAATATTATTAGTATGCTGTCTTGCATAGTGTTGTGTCATTTGACTGAGTGGCCACAACACACATTTAATCGATAAGTTTCAATCAACGCCGGTTTCTCACTTAGTGAAGGTTATAAAAAACAGAAAAATATGTTTGCATCAGTAGTTTAATTCGAGGTGGTTCTTTACAGGTATCTCATGAAGATGTCTAGTACTACTGGCCTTTGTTTACTTTATTTGCTACTGACTTTGTCGAATTTTCGATACAAAAATATAATTTGATTATAATTGTGAGTTATATTTGATCTGACTGATAAGGACCACTTTTTTTCGAACATGTCATCCCATATATGAACAGATAATGTCTGTGGTTTCTTTACGACATGCACCTGTAAATAGAGCAGTGGGTTTTTCTGATGTTCTTGCTATTATTTCATCAATCACATTCGGTTAATGGCCAAAACTTTCATTTTGTAGGCTCAGCACCACGTGGGCGTAAACATCCTTTACCTATTAGAGATTCAGTAGAGTTCCCTGTAACACTGTTTCGTGGAAGTCGGGGTTTTGGTTTTTCGATTCGTGGTGGACAAGAATTTAATCAAATGCCTTTAGTAGTCTTACGTATTGCAGATGGTGGTGCTGCTCAAATGGATGGTAATTTAAAGGTATGTTTGACGATTATGCTTACATTCTATAAACATAGGAGAAATTTACGAACTAACTCAGCTTCATATACATAGCCTAAGTCCTCTCTGTTATCTACATCAATTAGCTATTACTTAGTTGACAGTGCTAGTTTATTTTGATGATGTTGTGTCCTCTGATCTGGATGGTTTAATCGTGCAGTTTCCATTGTCATTCTAGACAACATTATCAGCACAAACTTCAGAAAGAAGTGAGATATGGGATTTCCTCCACACATGCCTTGGCAGCTTCTCCTGATGACCTTATGTGTGATTGGTCGTTTCTGCTAAGGTTTTGTCGTTGTCTCCTTATCTATTTCGATTAGCTATCCTGATAACTTGAAATTTGACTTTCATTTTGTTGCTCGTGTTTCTTATCAGTTGATAGATTGGGTTAATGTCAATATGTTTGTTGATTGCTGACTGACCTGAATACCAGGATTCTAAAAATTCTCCACCATCCTTTGTATTTCCTCTATCCAGAATTTTCACATTTTTCTAATCAAATTCATGTCCACAGTTGTTCCTGTGCATTGATATGAGCGAAGATTATGTCATGACGTTTCACTACTGGTTGGTGTTCATGTAGACGGATACGAACAGAGTGACCACTCTGTCCGATGTGGTATTTTTCTGCAGTTTATTTTGCAGGTAACGTTTAGTTTTTCTTCCTTTGCTAATGTGATGTGTATCTGCAACATAAACTGCGAAAAACACTACATCGGACAGGGTGGTCACTCTCTTCGTATCCGTCTACATGGACATCAACCAGTAGTGAAACGTCATGACATAATCTTCGCTTACATCAGTGCATAGGGACAACTGTGGACATGAATTTGATTAGAAAAATGTGAAAATCCTGGATAGAGGAAATACAAAGAATGGTGGAGAATTTCTCGAAGCTTGGTATTCAGTTCAGTCAGCAACTAACAGACATGTTGATATTGACCCAGTCTAACAACCAATAAGAAATAAGAAGGTCAAAATTTTGCATCAGCAGGAAGGCCAATTGAATCACATCTGGTGACATTGACAAGATTTTATCAGAAACAACCAATCACACACAAGGCCATCAGGATAAACTACTAAATAGACCGTGGTGAAAACCTTCTAGTTCATTTCTTTGTGACGTTTTAGCTGATAGTGTTGTCTAGAATGACACTGAAAGCTGCATGAATAAAGCATGCAACTCAGAGAAAACAACACTATCAAAGTGATCCTCCTGAGCTACAAATATTCGCCATCACGTCAATGTTATATTGTCTTGGTGTAATTAGTTAATTGAATCACATCTGCCAGATGTACGCTGTAGTCAGAGTAATAATAATAACAATAATAAAATCAACATTGCGTTGTTGACGTAAATTCTGATGATGGGAGGATAATGGCTAGCAGAACACTGGATCTAAGTTTGATGCTAACCGATACTGTAATTACACTGGAAAACGTGATAGTAAAGAGGATATTTTTGACTCACAGTCATCTATGAATAAGCTTGATCTAAGGTCCATAGCTTTTTGACACCCGACTGAAGCTTTGAAACAGCTAACTAGAGGTAACTAGATAGGTTAGGGTAAGACGGAAGGTAAAACTTTCAATTTGTAATCCTTCATTAGATTTTGGAACGCAGATATGTTAGTTGTAAGCACTAGCTGTGTTCCCTGAATTACAAGCTGTGTTCAAGTCAGTTAACCAAGTGGTCGTGTGATTTTCAGACATTTTTATTCTCACAGTTTTTATGAGTGTGCTTCTGTGGGTAGCTTTCTGCTTCCAGCTTCTCTGAGTTCACTCAAGTTATGCTAAGATTCTGTGATTGGCTTAAGGACTGCTTACTCTATAGCCTCTTCTTAGATAAAGAAACTGACGAAATATGAAGTATCTCATGATCAAATCATGATATTTTGCGTATTTTCTGCCTATTCAAGGCGAATTCACTTTCTAAAATTGATTTTTATTTCCTCTTACTCTTACTATAGAAAATACGTTAGGTTTTTTATACACCCATATTTATGTTAATGAGTGGAATTTGGATGTTATACTTTGTGAATATTCGTTGTTGATTGAATTGAACTGATCGGGTATTATATATGGGCAATATGGGGTACTGTGTGGATGCCTCGATACTGCCGGGATTTTTAGTTTTGATATTGATGATCAATAATGGGTATCGGTGGAATCCAGTACGCGGGTTTCCTCCTATTTCGTACTCGTAAGCTGGATTCTACTGTCTCACAGTGAGTGATGTTGTCCCCTTTAAGACTGGAACTCGTGACCAATCGCTTTAAGACACCAGATCATTATCCACTAGACCACCGAGTCACGATTATCACTCTTTGTGTGGTGCGTACAGCATAGTTTTGATATTATAGCGCCTTAGTTCTGGGTTCTGGGGACAGCACCACTCTCTATCAAGGTTGGCATGTTCAACTGACGAGTCTCAAGTATGAAAAACATGGATTCTAAATTCCACTGCTAACCACTATCCGTCATTAATATCATAATGGGTCATATGTTTGAATAGAGCTTCATATATCTAGGTTCTAACTATCAGGTAGTGGTATAATTACCTCTTATATGGCATATGTATCGAACCTACGCTCGATACTGAAGATCAGATGGCCAGAAAGAATGAGCAAGAAGGAAGTCTGGCTGACGAGGAACCAACCAACAACCTGTCGCCCAACGTGTATACAGAAGGAGAAAGTGGAGATGGATTGGATTGGTCATACACTGAGGAGACCGATTGGGAACATGACGCTCCAGGTCAGGCCAGGTCCTCGAGTGGAATCCAAAGAGGAGACGACGAGTTGGGCATCGGAGGTGACGGTGATATGGAGGAGATGGTGTGAGGAAGAAATGAAAGGTTGTGGGGAGTCATGGAGCTAGGTTTTGAAGACTGGAGAGGACAGAGTGAAATGGTGACGTGCTACTGAAGCTTTATGTCCCACTAGGAACCCAAGGGACAAATAATAAAAAATGACATATGTAGTTGATGCCTTAGCAAAGAAACCCTTCACACCGTTGCTGAATTGTATCAACTCGTTATTTACTAACATACAGCATTTCTAGTACTAGACAAAAGCCAATTGTATATAGTGTAGGAGTGAGTATTACTCACACTTGTTTCTGACTCTTCTTTTCTAAGATAAAAGTAATATAATTTGATCTAGTCAAGATATTTTGATGCATTATTTATTTAATTTAGGTTGGTGATGAGTTAGTCGAAATAAATGGTTATTCAACTATTGGTATGTCACATGGACAAGCTATTGAAATTATTCAACGCGGTGGAAGTACAATGCGATTAATTGTACGACGACGTTCTTCACATGTCAAACCACAACAACTATCTAATGGTTTAGTTAATGTTACTGACAATCGTACAATGACAGGTAAATTATAATTTAAAAGTTTTCTCGTAAGCTATATATCTATGTAACTTATTTTTATAAGGTGAATTAGTGGATACACTTGTCAACTTTCACCAACTGAGACAGATGGAATAAAATTTTCGCGTACTGGTTCTCTAGAAACATGAAATTGTGACTTATTCGATATCTAGCACTAATGAATTCATCTGCTCCTAGTCGAAACCGTAGACTCTGTATGTGCATATGGGATCTTTCATGAAGATTCCTTAAGATAATCAATAGCTGTGGTTAGAAATTTTAGGTAGCATAGTTTAGGCTTGTATCATCCTACCTGGCTGGGGAATGGGTTTTCAGAAGCAGTCCCCAACTGATTGGCTCTTGAACTTGGTCAACTGTCTGCCATTCACACAGGTAGTAAGGGTTGGAATACCTTAGCAGGATAACCCACGGTGGGCACTCGATGCCGTCCATACTAAAGAGGTAAGGGTAAATACCAGGGACTTTGGGACTTTCTTCATTAGTAGAAGCGTTTGACCTGTTGTGCACACTGTTTTCATGTATATGGGCCTAATAAAAAGTTGTCTTTATGGTCAGTGACATTTAGTCAACCTGGGAAACTGCAGAAGCCTTAGAAAACCAAGAATAGCATAAATTAATGTGGCAAGTATCTTTGCTCACTCTTCATTCTGCTCGAAACTTAGGACAGATGGTTTCACCTTCCCCTAACACTTCTTGTTTATGTTAAAATATCTTTCCATTTCCTGTTGTGAAGTGAGTCAACTTGATCTGAGACAGCGTTTTTTCTTGTAAGAATTCACTCAACATTTATTTGTCAATGGGTATTTTTCTATTTATTTTTATTGGTTATCATTTGACTATCTGAGATAGCCGTAGTTGGGGAGACTTGTATTTATACTGGGTGATGATTGAAGGTGAAATGAAAATTTGAATTGCGACCGGATTCGAACCAACGACCCCTGGGTTTCCGGCCTGATGCGCTGTACTAACTGAGCTACGAGGTCCGACTGCTGACCAGATTTTTATTTCACTTCGCTGGTCGCTGGTTCGAATCCGGCATCGGTCAAAATTTTCATTTCACCTTCAATCACTATCCAGTATATTTCTATTAAGCGGTATGAACAGTTAACAGAAATGCTTCATATTCTATTCGAGTCTGCTTCACAATCTAATAATCAGTAAAACATATGTGATGTATATGAAGTTCATTGAGAAACTATCCTATGATACATTGCCGGCGTATTTTAACGCGAATAGTAGTTCGTATATAGCATAAATATCGCTATTCAAGAAACAGATTACTTCAAATGCACAAGTTATTTCATAACTTCCCTACCAATCATCAAAGGCTTTTAAAATCCAGAGGTATCCTAAAGGTGATAGCCAAGTTCACGATTCAGTTAATTGCACTCACCTAATTTGGTATTATCCTTTTCTACTATAAACTATAAAAATTTTAAGGGGGGGGGGAGGCTATTAAGACGTTCAAATTGTTTTTTTTAGCTATAGGTTAAAAAATCTGTTACTTTCAAGCAGACGTTTAATAATAAAAAAGGCGTTTTGGGATTCAGACATAAAAATCTTGCACAGAAGTTCATCAGTTCAGAAGAAGTGACCGGAAAAGGAATGACATTGAAGTTAGCAAAATAATATGAGAATAAAGAGGAAAAATAAATAAAGGTTGATAAAAATGATCGATTTTTAGAAAGCGAGAAAAAGGTGTACATATCTTCTCTCCTTTACTTGATTTTAGGCCGTATCACCAAAAGTTTCCAGCAATTGATTCATATCATACTGTAGTCTACTTTTTTGCTGTCAGTGTAATTGAGCACGGGACTCAGCTTGATGTGCTTACACCCCAGTGAGTGTTGTTCCCATGAAGACTCAAACCCTAGAGCTCATTATCACCTCTTGTATCAACCTGGAAGACTCCAGCTAGGCATTCTACATCTATGCACACACCACAGATCCTTAGTCAGAAACTTCTCAGATTACTGCTAAATCTCGATCAGACCAACCTAATCTTACTTCGGTTAATATTGTGCATCAAGGTAAGTGCACTAATCAGTGGTTAACAATCTCATCATGATGAAATAGTGGAGAATATTTGTATCTCAGGTGGATGGTCTTTGTTGTATTGTGTTCTCTGAGCTGGGTTTTTTAATGTTGTGTGTCTCTTCTGCCTCGTCAGTGGTATGATTGTTTGCCGTATTTTTTTTTGAGTGACCTCATCTAGTCCTGATGTTTTAAGTGGCGATCCTAATGCCGCAAAGAATTATCGTTTCGAGGCATCTCTTGTGTCGTAATTTAATCCTTTTGAAGAAGAAGTTCCTCCATTTTTGTTAGTCGTTGTTTCGATAAGCTGGCAACATATTCGTTTGTTTCTTCGGTTGTAGATGCTTCTGAGATTCTGAGCTGCTTTTACCTGAGGACTTTTCTTCGTTGTTCTTTGTATCGTTCGCTTGATTTTTCAATTGCAGTTTTTAACGTTGTCGTGTGTTGTGTCGTGAGTATGCTTTCTAGTTTCGCTTTTTGATTGTTAATCACTGATTGGTATTTCCGAATCCGACGATGTGGATCTGTGATCATCGATTGTACCACTTGTCTTCCACTTTGTTCAGCTGTTTTCCATCCCATTGGGCAGTTGATCGGTGGTCTGTACCTGACACTCTTCGACAGAACATGTTGATGTAGGCACTCATGGAGAAAGGATATTTGTTCTATTGTGGAAGCTTGCGTTTTGGAGAAGTCCTCCCATCTTCGATCAACTTGGTGAAGCATGTTACGCTCGTATGATTTTGAAATAGTGGAGAATATTCGTAGCTTAGGTGGATGGTCTTGGTTGTATTGCGTTCTCTGAGCTGGGTTGTTTAATCGATTAAACAACTCAGCTCAGAGAACACAATACAACCAAAATCTCATCATTTGATCTGCTTTCTTTACGTGCCAGATTTTTCACACATCAACAATTTCACGTTAACACTGACCTCTGGGATCCGAGTTGATTAACCTACTTATTGTGACTGGTATACTTTCTCAAGTAAGTCAGGTGATTAGTTCATCCCACATCGGTGATTTACTCGGAAGGTTAATACAAGTGTACTAACTGATTTCATTATCAACTCGACAGGTATATGAACTAAATGAACCAAAGACCATCTTCTGAGAATCCTTCATTCTTCTTTCTCTTTAGGTGTATCACTTAAGAACAAAGCTCATCCATACGGTGTAGTTATTGGAAATTATGTACATATTTATCATTGACCTGCACTTCAGAAGTAGACTAATTTGTCACCGTTGCGGACTTTCCCAAGGATGACACATGGTTAGCTAATAATAAGAATAATAGTGTAAGATAGGCTAAATAATGACGTGGGGTGGGGTGGGGGGGGGGTGCGGCAGGGAGGAAGAGCCTCATAAAATGTGAGCGACCTCAGTGTATTCATTTTTATCACACTGTCGAGTATGAATCACAATTCCCCGGTTAATTACCACGGTACTCATAAAATATACTATTAAGCAGTTGTATTGTTAACGACGCATAACTTTCACGTATCTCATATAACTGGAGTGTGTCAATATTGCATCATTTGGCATTGATAACTTTGAGTTTGTATGTATTCATTCAATACCTATCTAGTGTGTTTACTTTTTATATTGAAATACTTTATTGTTTACAGGACCATCATAAATAAAGTCTTATACAGGTAAAATGTATGTAATCGTTAGCATTTGTGTGTGTGTGTGTGTGTGTCCATGCATGTATGTATGTTTGAGTAGTTGTACGTTTTAATGTTGCAATGTTCTCATTGTCTCTGTAGTATGTATGTATGCGTATTTAATTTTGCAGTGCATCTTTTAACATTCATGGTCATGAATATTCTGTCTATGTAATTTGTGGATCATGACGATTTGATTTTTATGGTAGTATTCATCTTGGAATGACATTAATTGGAGAACCATTGAAAAGCTGGAAGCACTGGACAGCTGTTTCGTCCAATTATAAGTCTCTTCAGTGCACTGCTGAGGAGTCCCGTTTTAGGGTTCTCCAACTGGTATCAGTTCATGATGAATACCAACTGTAACTCGATTTAATTTGACCTTCGTCTGTGAATAAAATGTTAGCTTCCAATATAGTTTTGGTCACAGTTGGCTAATATATATGACATATAATAAGTCATAGTCAACAAATTATTCTTGCTTCTAATGTTTATTATCACTAGTGTCTAGTAGGCATATATCCTTCCATGGGAAGTCTATCGTATCATATGGGATATTTTTATTCTAGTTAATTATTATGTGGTTCACATATTGAATCGTATTGTTCAAATCTATACTTAATTTACTACATTTTGATAATAAACTCTTAAGTTTTCATTTGGTTGCCTCACTTTGATCATACTCAAAAAAACGTTTGTTAAACTTTCAAACAATCGAAATTGAATTTCCCATATCTATCACTAATTAAATTGTTATTATCACTTATGCATGTATATTGTTTATTGGCGATCAGAATTGTCAGTTGCTTGTTAAGTAAAACTTATATTTGTGGAAGGAATCGGATTCGCCACCTACCCGATATCAACCTTTTATCCAACTAAGTTTGATTTGGATTCCGCAAACCTAACTAGGTAGCTATTGTGACGAAAAATGGGGACGGTCAAATACCAAACAATCAAAACGCTGAGCGATTGAAATGAAAGTATGATTTTGTTAACAGTTGGGTCTGATACCTCATTGAATGAATCGATGATTTTCACCGAGGGAGATGACTTAGACATGTATTGCTGATACTGAGCCACCGCCTGCCTCTACATGCCATTCTAGGATAGGTTGGATTAGGTTGGCAGTGGATTCAGGGTGGGTGGCCAGACCAAATATGTGGGACCAGTTCATGAAGTCTCTGATTATTGGTTTGAAGCGTATTGGGGTCCACAAGACTATAGGAAATAATAGTTACGAACTCTTGGTGTAATGGCTGGAAGTCGATCACAATGGCGCAGATGTATTCACTCCCTGATGCCCCCTAAAGCTTAAATGTTTTGACTAACAGATCTTTGTATGGCAGTGTCAAGTGTCCCAATTTGAACCGATGCACGTGTGTGTAAGAGGTTCTACGTTGATTCTGACTGTCTGTTCTGGTGATTCAGAGGTTGCTAGTTCGAATCCAATTGTGATTTATTACAGTAATAAGATTACTGCATATTATCCACTTATCATTCCAGTCAAGGGTTCTTGCTTATCAACAGGCGGTTTTCACAATCTGGTGTTTGCGTGATTTATATATGAAGCACTAATTGCCTTCTTTGTTATATATATGTGTATGTATGATTCATGGATGTTTTGTATTTTTTTCTTGCATGTGTAAATTGTTTTACTCAACCTATGTACTCATTGATGTTTCTTTTGTTTTTTTCACACACCATACCTGTTGTAGATAAACAAATGCACAGACGTAGTTTTAACAAATATGATGCTTCATCCAACTGGTTTCAGCGAGCGATAATAGAAAAAAATCATTCCTCTCCTAATAATAACAGTAGTGGTAATACGAATCATTTTCAGAGGAAAAGTGAATTTCTCCGATGGACAATCCGTAAATAAATGAATCGATAACAACTCTGCATGTGTTTATTTATTTTACTGATTTGCTTAGGCTGATCAAATACTTTCACAGTGTCATTGTTTGTTTCTCTTTTGTTGTGTATTTCTTTACCATTTTTATTTCTTATATGATTTTTGTTCGTATTCATTCTCGGCCTTCGTCAAACTCTTTCAAACCTCGCTCACTTTGTTCATCACTGAAGATAAATGAACAAAGTGTATATTTCCTTGTTCAATAGTCAATTTATTTGATCTTTTTTTTTTCTAAGCTAACTTTTACTTTTCACTTTCTGGCAATCATGATGACGATAAATTGAATGATGAATATACTCCGATACATTATTTTTACATACTACTACGCTTTTTACCATTATTTCTACTACAGTTACTAGTAATATATTGCTGTCATACATTATAACGACAGTATAAAGAATGAACAAAATTATTGATGATCACTTTTTCCAGATATCATCAATGATGGAATCACTTTAAAACGGAAAGAGACTGTTCCACGTGAATACGTAATCACTGTACTTTACTGTTCTCATACTCGTATTGACTTATGTTGATTCATCTAATCAGAAATTTGTATTTTATTTTATTTTACTTATGCTTATTTCATAAATGAATGATACGCGAAGAATGGCTACTTTGTTGTTGCTGTTCTTGTGTGTGTGTGTGTGTGTGTGTGTGTGTGTGTGTGTTGAACGACCCCTTTTCTCTGTTCCATGAGAAACTGCTTTCCTAGCCAAAATTTCGAAATCTGATTGAGTCATTCATAAAACGGTTCCATTTTATCTCGATGGGTCCATTTTGTTATCCTCCGATGGTGGTTCTTACTTTTTCAAATTCGTAAAAGGGGAGTTCGTATATAGGCATAAAAACGTCCTAGCCCAAATATAGGATAACAAAATCTTATTGGCTACATCACATACAGAATCCTCTATAAAGTTATTACGTCCAGATCAAAATCCGAAACAAGACTACTTCTACCCCAACGGCCTATGACTTAGAATGCTGATTTCCATTTTTGGCTGTTTCCAATCAGTTACCAGGTACAAAACTTTGCATCCTCGCGCATGAGGACGATATCGATTTACTGCGCAACACCAAACAAGGTACTCAGTCAGTTGGTGATCAATGTCCGTGAGTTTGCTATGAGCATTACAATAATGAACTACAAAGTTCTCCCGCAAGATTTTCAGCAGCCTGTACGTGCACTCAATCGAAGTTGCCTGAAATTTCGGGTACCTGGGTAGTTGTGTGAGTGCTGATGGAGGTGCAGCTGATGAGATTTTCAACCATACTTCAAACGTCAGAGTGGCAAACACCACTCTAAGCCACCTTTGTGGTTATCATGATGTTAACCATGCTGCAAAATTCACAATGGGTAGCTCAGTGACGCTTCTGAAGTGAAGACAGGGGACAGGAGTAAGACAAGGCTGTCTACTATCACCCATGATATTCCTGATTGTAGTGGACTGGATCATGCAACAAACAGTGAGGAGCGAGAAGAGGGGGATACACTGGCTGGACCGCGGAAAAGGTCCTAGAAGACTTGGATTTCGCCAACGGTGACTTGTGTCTAATGTCACACAAACTTGAAGATCTACAGGCAAAGGCTAACAAGTTGACAGAAGAGGCAGGGCAGCGAAGACGGGACTTCAAGTGAACGTAGAGAAGACAGAGGTGATGAAGATACTCAACCAACTCCACCACCAACGACAACAAGCTCCAATCACCATCAACGGGAGAAGCTTAAAAGAAGTAACCTCCTTCACCTATCTAGGCAGGCAGCACTGTTCCAACTACGGGCGGCACAGATGAGGACGTCAAAGTCAGGATCGGAAAAGCAAGACAGGCACTCATTAACCTGAAATCAGTATGGAGATCTTCTGCACTGCACTCAGCATGTGGAACAAGATCCGGATTTTCAACACCAACTCAGTCAAGTCAGTGCTTCTGTATGGCTCAGGGACTTGGTGCGTTACGAAAGGGATTTCCAAAAAACTACGGACTTTCATCAACAACTGCCTACGCTGGTTCGTTACTGAAGATTAGGTGGCCAGAATGATAAGAATAAGCAACAAGGAACTCTGGAAACGAACTAACCAAGAAGCTATCGCTCAACAAATATGCAGTGGCAGGGAGTGGAGATGGATTGGATTGGGCATACACTGAGAAGGCTGACTGTGGACATCACGTGCCAGGCCAGATACTCGAGTGGAACCCAGATGGAAGCGACAAGTTGGGCGTCCGAGGTGAGGGTGACATGGAGGAGATGGTGCGAGGAAGAAATGAGAGCTTGTGGGCTGTCATAGGGCCAGGTTCAAAAGGTAGCAGAGAACAGAGTGCGCTGGAGACGTGTTACTGAAGCCCTGTGTTCCACTAGGAACCCAAGGGACAAATAATAATAATAATAGTAATAATAACTGATTGCAAGGGGAGAAAGTAGTGACTAGTGTATGACTTGGTGCCATGAGATGAAGAATAAATGTTTTAGCTTGACATCTGTTGGCTTCTCAAGATTTCATGGATGAGATTTGAGAGATCATACAACTTAGTGACTTCAGTTGAAGTCGGATATAGCTCAGAATCGAAACTGGAGGAGATCATATTGTATTTCTCTTGTTCCTTCTATTGTTGAAGAGTAAAATGAAAGCAATGAATGTTTCTTCGAAGGTACCTTTGATACAGTTTCTTCATTACTCACTTCTGTTTTATTTTCTATTTTCCCTTCCGTTTCTTCATAATAATGGTTTATTATTTTGTACGGGACATTTATTGGTGTCCATTTGGCTGCAACTTTGTGTTGCAAATAAGAATATTAGTAGTAGTAGTAGTAGTAGTAGTAGTAGTAGTCATCGGTTGCTGTTTTAACTCATGAGATTAATTTCCAACCTCCTTGTAGTCTTCATATTCCTTCTAGTCCAAGCACCAGACATCTGCTTGCCACCATCTTAATGACCAGTAGGCCTTTTTGAACTCATAATATGATCACCACTCCTTTCTTGCACTTTTTTAACATCAGGCATTGGTGATTTGATGGTTTTCTAAAACAATAGCACTAATGTTGACTGTCTGCTTCAAAAGTTTGGAAAAAATATCGTTTGAATTAGAACAGAAAGTAGCTTGTTGTGGTTAAATGTAGTCTTAATAGTTTAACGAAGTATTTCATCCAACCTAGAATTTACTCTCAGTCTCATAGTATTGAGTATCGCTTTGAAGAAACCGTCACAGCCATCTGCTTTGTTATTTTTTCATGATAGAAACAGATAGGATAATTTAGAACCTTTCACGAAGGTGCACAAGTTCAAGCTACTGCAGTGCACAAGAACACAATGAGGAAACGGTTGTAAGAAAAAGATGGAAGGAATAACAAATGGAATTGAAGGAGAGGAAATGAATAAATGTTGATGAAAATGTCCCAAATTCTGATGTTTTTGGGGAATTTTGAACCAGGCTTCCACTGATTGGTTTAAGCATTTGATTTTCAACTGATAAATTATGAGTTCCAGTCCAGCTCCTCCTACCGAGGTTTGGGCATACCAAGTATCATCACTAGCCCATATACAATAGGTAAAGCTCATTGCCTACTGCACAAATAACCGTGTGGTTGCTGAGTGCATTCTAGTTACGACTCGAAGTCACAAATCCAAGACACTTTACAGTGATTATAGAGATAAATATCAGTTCTCTGTTTGCCTATTACAGTCAACTACTGATATTTTCTAACCTCTAATGTTATAAGCTGCATTGTTAGAGCGTATTTACCTCGCTCAATTAGCGAGTGTTCACAGTATGTTGAGATAAAGAAACTGTTGGAGTAAGTTTTCAAATACCTGGACATAATGTGCTACCTAACTTCTTGAAGGCATTTGTTGTTTTCTTCAACCGTAGCTATAACTTTCTGTTATTCAGTTTATTAACTTTTTTTTAAAGAAACAGATTGAATATTTCCATCTATGAAATATAAAATAGCACAGTGGATAGCGAAGTTTACTGTTAAACTGCTTGTTGTTAACCGACTGTCAATATTCATAATCATAAGTTACTTTATACATCAGATGGTATAGTTGTAAACTGTAATTCGGAGTAAATAGGCCATCAAGATAAGATTTCTGCCAATTATTCAGAACTCAATAAAGTTGAAAATAACTGAAAACTATTATCCACAGTCATATGTCCGATGATAATTGTCCAGAAAGGTGTGAAAGTCTGCCATTCTGGACAACATCATCAGTACAAACTTCATAAAGAAACGAGCTATAGGGTTTTCATCACAATCTTTTTAGTAGCTTGTCCTGATGGTCTTGTATGTGATTGGTTGTTTATGTCAAAATTTTGTCATTATCTCCAGATGTAATTCAACTGGTTGTCCTGGTGACGTGAATTTTGACCTTCTTATTGGTTGTTAGATTGGGTCAATGTCAATGTCTGTTTTTCTCCAACTGACCTCAATGACAAGCTTCTGAGAATTCTTTGGCATTCTTCGTATTTCCTCTATCCCTGCACCCTCTGTTATGCAAGCCTAAAGATACAATAGCAAAGGAAGATAAGCCAAACTGAATAAACTGCAGGAAACACTACATCGGAGAGAATGGTCACTCTCTTCGTATCCGTCTACATGGACATCAACCAGTAGTGAAACGTCATGACATAATCTTCGCTTACATCAGTGCATAGGGACAACTGTGGACATGAATTTGACTGGGAAAATGTGAAAATCCTGGATAGAGGAAATATAAAGAATGGTGGAAGCTTGGTCTTCAGGTCAGTCAGTAATCAACAGACATATTGACATTAACCCAACCTAACAACTGATAAGCAACAACAAGAAGGTCATATTTCACACCAACAGGACAACCAATCAAAATAGATATGGGGACAACGACAAAACCTTGGCAGAAACAACCAATCACACACACGGTCATCAGGAGGGGCTACCAAGCCACTTATGATGAAAACCTTATAGCTCACTTCTTCGTGAAGTTTGTGTTGATGATGTTATCTAGAATGACACTGAAAGCTGCACGACTAAACCATTCAGCTCATCATCAAAAACTCTTCCTTTTACTTGATGACATAATCCAGTGGTTGAATCTTTTACTGTTTATTCAAGTTTCGATGATCATTTTACCGAATGAGTTCAACTTATGTTGCTACATAATTTGACTGTTGCTTATCATCAGCTGACCTAACTTGTTAGTCTTCTTACGGTATCATTTATTCTAAATATCAAAATACTTTATTAATATTTACATTATTATCCTTCAATTCTTTGTTAAACCAGGTACATGAGTAAAACTCCTTAGTATGTCTCGTTAACTTTATCCGAATGCTTCGCCTCCTTATTTACACCATATCAATTCCTAATAATTTCATTTGATTTGAGTGGGGGGATTTATTGACTTCAAGTTTGTATTCATAATGGACTGATATCAGTTGGAGAAAGACTGGAAACCTGGGAGCACTGGACATTTGTTTCGTCCTAGTATGATACTACTCAGCAATGTGCCGGTGGTAGACATTCAATGGTCCACATTTTCTACTTCTATCATTTTCATTTAACTGCATAAACTATACTCTAATTCTTTCATGATATGATATTTGAATGCTTTAGGTTGTAAAGAGCTGA